TTGTCCTGACCCAGCCAAGGACCAGGAAGCAGGTGACCAGAGCAGCCACAAAGCAGCTGGTCTTGCACCACTTCCCAGGCCCACGCCATGCAGGATGTGGTACGGTGCCTGCCCATGGTACTTGAGGCCCAGGGCTCCACACCCAGCATTTCAAAAAATCTCTCAGGAATAATCAATCAACCTCTACAGTTCTATCTCTGGACTTACAAGTTGGAGAAAATAATGGCTTTCCTTACAGACCCTATACTGAGATGGAATGTGGCCCTTACCGCCTAAAGAATCTTACTCCAGAATCTAAATCTTATTAAGTGTTTCTTTCCAGGTGCAATGATGCATTCCTATAATCCCTGCAACTCAGGAGGCTGTAACAGAAGGATCTCAAGTTTCAAGCCAGCCTGGACTATATAACAAGGTCCTGTTCCTCCCCGCATCATTCTCCAAGAAAAGATAGTTCTTTGCAGCTAACTAGGCACAGATCACAGGCTAACTAGGCATGGAAGCCAAAGGCTACGGCTCAGCGGGTGTGACAATATCATGATTAGATAGACTGTATTTCAGGAAGCTCGCTGCTGGCAGTTGGTTTGGAAGATGAACCAAGCGGGCAAAAGATGAGAGCAAGGCCACGCCCAGGTTAGCAGGCCCCACAGATCTCTGTGCCATCCAGGGCCACTGGGTGTAGAGGAACAGGAAGGGACCGGGCATGTGCAGACGCCGTCTGCCGGGTGGCTCCCTTTGTGGGGCCTTTGGGAGAGGGTGTGTACCCGGCCAGTGGGAGGAAGTCGCCACCCCGCTGGAAGGAATCTGCCACCCCGCTTCCAGCTGAAACATCAGATAGGGCCCAGTCCCCTCCTGAGACAGCGGGGAGCCGAGTGGCCAAAGGGATTTTTTTCCCTTTTTTCTTTTTAAGGCTTATATGAAAGAACCTGATGTCTATGGCTCTGAAAAGGAAAAAAGATAAGGGGAAAGCAGCGGGCAGCAAGCAGGTCCATTGTGTGGGTTATCTCTGTTATTTTAGAATGTAAAAAAAAAAATTGGTGTGGTGGGCTGGGACCACAGATCATGCCAGCCTGGTGCAAAATCATTGCTTTTATCCTTTTGCTTTGCAGTTTTGCATTCTGGCGGCTGTCCCTAGGCCTTTTCTGCTGTTCTGCACCACGCCACCTGGCTGGGACAGAGGATAGAAGGCCTATTGAATCTACCAAGAGTGGGTGCATAAAATAAATATCAAAATGATCTTAAACTCTGAAGGCAATCAGGAACATCAAGATACTTAAAAATGCATTCACTGTCTTTTCTTTTCTTTTCTTTTTTTTTTTTTTTTGTGACAGTATCTTACTGTGCAGCCAGGCTGGCTTCAAGCCCACGGTAATCCTCCTGCTTTAGCATCCTAAATACTGAAATTACAGACGTGTACCTCCACTCCAAACCTAATATTAATCATATGTTCTACCTGAAGGCTTATAATACTGGGAGACCTGGAAGAACCTGGCTGCAAGATTTCCTCCTCCACTTGCACCCCAGGTAAGGTCCCCTGGCCAGCTCCTCACAATCAAAAGTTCCAGTTATCAGGTGAGCCAGGCACAATTTCCCCAGATCCCTGCTGATCCAAGGAACTAATCAGACAAGCCATCCATGCCCCCCAAGGACTCTGGGGCACCCCCACTCTGCATACAACAAAGCTTGCCCACCGTGATCCCCAGAGTTTACTCTTTCCTGGAAGCCACCTGCTAGAACCTGAGGCAGCAGAACTCCTGCTAGCTGGGCACATGCGCTAAACTTGGGTGTCAGGGGTATTGACTTGGGGTGGCATCTCCACAGCCCGGGGCAAAATCTTTCCCTACCTCTGCAGCTGCATTTCCAGAGGGCATTTCAGATCAGATCAGCCTACAGAGACCAAGGGCCCAACAGTGGGCTCTTCCACCTCGAGCTCCCAATACCCAAGACATGGCCCTCAGCCACAGGGTCCCTGTAGCGGAACCACATGTCCCCCAGGGGGAAGTCCTCAGGCATACTCCTTCCCCTGACCACAGCTGCCACTGTCCCCAACTCCATGATGGAAGGATGGTTAGAGGTGCTCAAACCTGGGAGCTCCAATGCACCTTAATTTTTGTTTTCTTTTGTTTTTAATTTTTTGAGGCAAGGTCTTACTATGTAGTCGAAGCTGTTCTTGAACTCATTACATAGCCCAAGTTGACTCCAACTCATGGCAATCGTCCTGCTTCAGCCTCCCAAATACTGGTATTACAAGCATGTGCCACCCCTCCCAGCACCGTTTTCTGTTTTTTGAAGCAAATTATAGCCCAGGCTAGCCTTGAACTCCCAGAAATCTCAATGTACTGAACCTGCAGGTCCCTATCCCTTTAGCCACAGGTTGGAGACCTTGACAATCACTAACCAAGTAAAAGGGCCCTGTCATGCAGCTGTGTAGACTCCAGTTTTCGGAGGATTCTTGATTGTTTGGGAGTCTTTTCCCTAAGGTCCTCTGTAGACTATTTCAGTCCCCAGATCAGTGTGAACCATGTGCACTTTGGATGGGAATGGGCTGGCACTGCAGGGCGAGGACTGGCATTGTTCCCTGAGCCTAATTCCTGCTCACTGTGGTGTTGTTTGGGCTGGGCTGACCTTGTGAACTGGATTTCTTTTTAGATGGGTGTATTTTTCCTTATTGCAAATTTCCTTCAATTCATCTGCAGACAGAGATTCTGGCCCCTTAGCTGGGAGCTTGTGACCCTGGTTTGGACAGCTCGTAGGGTCACCTTTCCAAAAAACACTTCCTGCTTTTTTTTTTTTTCCTTTCTGCTTGGCACTGCCTACTCTCCCCTGAGGATGCCATTTTAGCTTTCTGTCACCACTCTCTGATTTTGTCCCCTGGGAATCACTTCATCCGGGTCCCTTGTGTTTTTCTCCTTGTAGGAAAATCTAAGCGCCTTTAACAAGCAAGTTGGGAAAGACCTTCCTAAGCTCTCGCTTTACTGTTTGCTCTGAGGATCCCTGCACCCAGAGCTTGGGTACAACTCACAGACGTTGTGTTTGTCCCCACTCCAGGGCCTGCCAGGTACAGCAGAGGACTCGAAACAGTCACATCAGTGGTGCCGCCTACCGTGGTACAGAACCCACTTGGCTCTGGATTTTCCTGTCCACATGTTTTTATTTTACGTATTTCCCTGTGTTCTGTCTTCTCCAAGAAGACTCTGAGGCCACTAGAGAGATGCAGCCGCTGCAGCATGATCATATGTGTGCAATGAGGGCCATCAGCACAGGGGAAGGCGTGGAGGCTGTAAGCTGGGGCCTTTGCTGAGGGACGGCCAGAGTTGGTCAGAGTCCCCCTGGCTGTCACTGGGAGGGAAGAATAAGACAGGTTACAAAATTCCTGGTCCCTGAAGGATAAACACAACGGTTGCATAAGGGCACCCCAAACCCTAAGTGTGGCGTTCACACGGCCCTTCCAGGGAGCCTCTGGAGCACGGTCTGTATGGTTTATATCTAGATGTCCCCTGGGGCCTCAGCCACCCACAGGCAGGGCTTGTGGAAGGTGACTGAGCTCCACCTGCTCACAGCTGACTTGTGATGTGGAGGGGGGACCTGGTCAGCCGGGGCCTGTCCCTGGGGCTGTGGCTTGGCAGGGTTATCTCTCTGGGCTCTTCACTTCTCCCTGGGCTTCCTGTTTGCCATGAAGTGAGCAGCTTTCCCTCTGCCAGGTCCCCTGACCTGCCATCGTGTTGGACTGGGCTATTAACTGAAAGTGCCAGCTCCTCTTCTCAGAGGAGCCTTCAGAGAGCGCCCCCTGCCTGTCCTATCCCAACATTCTTTTATTACTTCTCAGCTTCTGTTTTAGACAGACTTCATTTTTCAGGGCAGTTTTAGGTTCACAACAAACTTGAACAGTAGGTACAGAGATGCCCCATGTGCCCCCCCACGGGAGCATCTGTTGTAGCTGAGGAATCCACATGGATACGTTGGCGTCACCCACCTCCGCCTCCTGGTCTTGAGTACTCCATGGCTTTGGCATCTGTGACAATCTGTATCCATCGCTCTAGCATGACTCAAAATAGCTCATCCTCCAAACCCTCTCTGCCCACTCAATCCCTTTCTCCCCCCCCACCACCACCACCAACGTGGATTGCAGCTCTCGAGGGGGCTACCAGGAATTACAGCAGTGGACACTAGATTTGCTCTATTTAGTATCAAATTTTGCAAAGTATCTCTAGTGCTAAAACCTGATTTAGTACATTCTGGTCAGGGCCCATCTGCTTAAGACTCAGATGAAAAAAAATTTTTCCAACCAGAGGGGAAAAAAACTTCAGCCACTAGAGGTGGCACACACCTGTAATCCAAGCACTCTAGAGGGTTGAGGCAAAAGTTCAAGATTAGCCTGGGCAACTTAGGGCACCCTGTCTCAAAATTTAAAAAAAAAAAAATTAAAAATTAAAGGGCTGGGATGTAGTTCGCAGCCATTGCATTCAATGGACAGTACCAAAAAAGAAAGTTCAGCTTCGTAAAATTTTGTATCAGTGAAACAGAGCTTTTGGCCAGTATTTCATCAATAACTCAAAGTTCTATGGTGTTTTCATTCCCAGTCTCAAAGAGATCAGTGTGTAACTGGTATGTGAACCTTCCTAATTATCCCAGGAAATGTACAAGTGAATCCAAGAAAATGGAGCCTATGTGTTTCTATAATTCAGGCAAGAACGGCCAGATCCAGAGGGGAGGAAGTTCAGAAACATGGACAAATCCTCAGGACAGAGGTTTGAAAATCCCTCAGAAGAACCAATAAGAACTTTTCCTGACCCACCAGTCTGCACAAAATATCATCGCTGACAAGGATCTACCCTAACCCAAAAAGAAAAAAGAAAAAAAGGAGGGTTAGGTTAACTACTAATTAGGTCTCCACTGTGATCCTCTGGCATCATCTGGAATTGAGATTAATGCTTCTATGTAGGCTAGTGTTCACTAAAAATTTTAAATTAAAAAAATTATTAGCCAGATGTGGTGGCACATACCTGTAATGCCAACACTTGAGAGGCTGAGGCAAGCAGGTCGTCATGAATTCGAGTCCAGCATGAGCTCTGTAGTGAATTCAAGGCCAGTCTGGATTATGTACCAAGACCCTGTCTTAAAAAACAAAAATAAGAAGAAGCAGAAACAGAAGAAGGATTACCAAATTTACAAGTTAAAAACAAAATTGAAAGACTTCTGAACACTGTTTCTAAAACTAGCACTGACCCTTGACATTTGTCCAATGAATCCCTTGGAGGAAAAAGGATTCCATCCCTCAGAGATGAATGGAACCAGTGCCTCTGCATCTTCCACATGAAGAACTCTCAAAGCAAAGGAGAACTTCTTGGCATTGTTACTAAGCTGTTTCACATGGGGAAGAAAATGTGTGCCCTTTATCTTTGCCTTTAAAGGGCCAATGAGGAAGTAAGTGGTAGCATTGTGATTTTCAATTTGATCACTGAAAAAGATATGCCCTCATTAAAAACCAGATGTGGTGGTGCACAACCATAATGCCAGCACTCCAGAGACTCAGGCAGGAGGATCGATGCAAGTTCAAGGCCAGCCTGGGTTGCAACGTGAATTCAAGGCCAGCCTAAACTGTACAGTGAGGCCCTGTTTCTAAAAAACCAAAAGAAGAAGAAGAAAATAAAAGACTTACAGGCAGAAAATAGCATTTGTAAACACCAAAAGAGAACAAAGAGTAACATGTATTTAGTAACGGTAATTTTTGTAGCCAGAGAGTAAAGTGTACACAAAGGGCCCCCAAATGGGCTGGTGCTCATTTAGACGACTGAAAGCCGGCTTTGATCCTTCAGTCCGTGTTAGTGTCTTAGAGAGACAGCAGGAGACATCTACAAAGGGAAGAAGGAAGGAAAAGCTACCAAAGGCTAAGCACATGATCAGTGTCATGCAGTAGGGGAGAGCCTTGGTGTGTTTGCATCACATCTCACTGAACCCTTCAGTCTTCCCACCGGGAACCCTAAGAAGTTGTATGATTTCCCCATCCATCGCCCATCTACTTCATCTTTTTCTTTTCTTTTCTTTTCTTTTCTTTTCTTTTCTTTTGTTTCTTGCTTTTTTTTTTTTTTTTTTTTTAGACAGGATCTTGCTATGTAGCCCAGGCTGGCTGTGAACTCATGGCGATCTCTCTGCCTCAGCTTTCCAAGTGCTGGGATTATAGGCCTGTGCCACCACATCTGGCTATTGTCTTGTTTTTTTGTTCTATGCTTAGCACAGGGAAAAGGCAAGTGCTTGATCTTTGTGACACATTGGATTTTTTTTTTTTTTTTTTGGTCTTTTTGAGACCAGGTAGCAATTCTCCTGCCTCAGCCTCCTGAATGCTGGCATTACAGGAATGCACCACTATGCCTGGCTCACCTAGAGTCTTTGAAATCAAGGGCTCTTAAAAAAAAGTCATGGGAGAATGAAACTAGCACTGGACTCACCAGTTGGCATCAGGAAGGTAGAATGGAAGTCTGGAGAAAGTTAGTGAACATCAAGACAGAAACAAACACAGGGGACAAGGAAAGGAAGGCAGGATGGTACCAAAAGATATTTATGCAAGGGAGAGCCAGCGGCGGGAAGTGGAAAGACAATCATAGCAAAACCACAACATGTGTTTTTCAAATGTAAAGCCCAGGGGAGGGGAAGCAAGGATGCAAGCCTTCCCCTCGGCAGCCGTGCCTCTGGTTTTGCTCTTTCCTCCTTTTTTTAAACTTTAAACAGTCTGTTGTGAGGGTCACAATGGCCCAGCTCATGATCCTGGCGCTCCAATGCCCTCAATCAGAAGCAGATGGCACAGTTCCTGCAAAGGCACAGTTTAGGGACACATACTCCCTGAGCCCCACAGCCCCGCAGTGATTTTAGTTCCTTCCTAGCTACCGAGACAGTGGCTAAATCTTATGGGTGAGGGGCCCAGGGGGCCACACCTGCTGTCCCTGCTGTGGGAGCTTTCTGAAGGTTACCACTTTGCTCCAGGTTGCAGTTTTTTTCTGATTTCAAGAACAATTCTTTTTTGGGCCAGAGATGTTACCCAGCGGTGTACGTGTGAGATGCCCAGCACCTCTACCCTGAATGCTTTTTATTAGATTTTAAGAAAGAAAGAAAGAAAGAAAGAAAGAAAGAAAGAGAGAAAGAAAGAAAGAAAAATTAAACAGATGCCAGGCATGGTGATGCAGGCCTATACTCCCAGCAGTCTAGGAGGCCAAGCCAGAGCATTGAAGGTTCAAGCATAGCCTGGGCAGTGCAGTGAATTACAGTGGTCCTGTTACAAAATTACAAATAAAAAGGGCTGGGGATGTGGCTCAGTGTGAAAGGCTTCGGATTCAATCCCCAGTAATGCAAAAGGAGGAGGAGGAGGAAGAGAAGGGGGAGGAGAAAAGCAGCAGAGGGAAATCTGGCAAACATTATCTCAGCTCTGTAATTAAATTAAACATTGTCATGTCTATAATCCCAGCACTCTGGAGGTTAAAGCAGGAGGACTGCCACAAGTCTGAAGCCAGCCTGAGCTACCTAGTGAATTCAAGACCAGCCTGGATTATCTCAAAAGAACAACAACAACAACAAAAAAAAAAAAAAAAAAAAAATATATATATATATATATATATATATATATATATATATATATATGTATATTAATTGTGGCGAGTGTACCACACATCTAGCTGTTTACCACAGGGAAAATGGGAAGGAGCGATGTGATATAGGGAATTGTCTGTGCTATTTTCGGGACTTCTCAATAGATATAAAACTATACTAAAATTAAAAGTTTATTTATAAAACAAACTCTGGGACTGTCATCCTATCTTTGTTTTGGAGACGGGGTCTCACTATAGTAGCCTGTTTGCCTAGCCTGGAACTCACCGATCACCCTGCCTCAGCCTCCCAAGATTCGAGATCACAGGCATAAGGCAACTCACCTGGGTTCTCCCTGCTGTTGGTTTCAAGAGGCTGAGTCAGACTTTCATCCATTCCTATCAGCTCAAGGTCACTCTTTTCAAGAGCTAGGAATGACTACTGCTCCTTAGGGACACTTGACCATGCAGACTCTTGACCATGAGGACACCAAAGAGACCAGGAAGCCCAGCCTTGCTGCACAACTGAAATTCTCAAAGCCCAGAAATTCGACCAGCCCAAGGTCACCCAGCTGCTTCCCAGCAGGGAGGGGACTGTGCTCTGCAGCCACAGGCCTGCCGGTGCCTAGAGGACCCAAGCAACAGCACATTGTCTGCTTCTGGTGCAATCAGTGATCAACAACCCAGACCTCTGCCTGTCTCCCCTGACAAGCGCAGGGGCTTGCTTCCTGTGCTTTGGTCTGGTTTCCAGAAACCGAAAGGATTTTTAAATCAGTGTAAAGAATGGATTCAGACACTTAAGAATTGTTGGACTGAATGCAGGATCAGGTCATTTTCCTCTCTGAGCTATCACTGGACAATCAGAAAATTTCAGAATTCCAGCTCCTGTTTCTTCGTCTTCTAAGAAATGAAATCACTAGAGCAGATCTCTGTGGAAGCGCCAGACAGAAATGGGGGGTAAGGAAAAGGCATTCAAGCAAGAACAAAGAGCACATTTTCTCCTAAGGAGTCTGTCCGATTCCAAGAAAGCTCATTTCCTTGCCGGTGCGGTCCCCAGGCGAGGAAAATCCCAGACTTGGCATCGAGAGGGAGAAGAGGGCAGAGGAAAGGAAGGGAGAGGATTGTTAGACTCCTTGGCTGGGATACAGAAACAAATAGTTCCCGGGGCTGGCATTGTCGGGGCGGCGTCGGGACCAGGCCAAGAAGGGTAACAAGAGCATGACCAGTACTGACTTGGCTCGGCACCCTGTCACCGAGAGCAACGGGTACGTCAGCAGCCCCGGATGGAGGACGCCCATGAACCCTAAACAACCCGGCTGCCGACGTGGCTGCCCAGGCCTGGGGCTGCAGATGGGCACAGGAACTCATTCACTCCGCAGACATTCTTGCAGGATTGAAGTACAACAATGAAAAACTACCAGGAGCACCTGATCCAAGTCTAAAGTCCAATAATGGTCAGGCTAAATCTGTGCTATGGCTTAGGCCACCTTGAGTTCAAGTCATCCTGAGCACCTGCCCTGATTCAATGGTAGCCGGCAGGAAGGAGGAGGCAGAACACTTGCTAAAAACTCCAAACTGGGTGTGGTGGTATATGCCTGTAATCCTAGCACTCAGGAGGCTGAGGCAGGGGGATCACTGCAAATTCGAGACCAGCCTGGGCTACAAAGTGAGCTCAAGGCCAGCCTGAACTGCGTAGCAAGACCCTGTCTCAAAGAAACAAAATAAATAAATAAATTTTTTAAAATAAATAAAAACTCCTCCAATCTGCATGATGGGAGTCTTCTTAAGCCCGGAAGGGGTGGGACAGAGCTTTCAGGAACAAGGAAGGAGAAAAGAATGCGCCGATTGTAAAAATCCCTCTATGGGTGTTTCTTGCTGTCCTTATGCTGCAAAAGAAGACAAAAGACTCAGCAGGGGGACAGCACTGCCCAGGGAAAGTAACAGCCCTAAAGTTTAAAGATAGGTCAGAAGAGGAAGGAAGCATTTGAAGAGGGTGCAACCTCAGGACCTCACAACCTCAGAAGAATCTAGAGCGAGAAGAATCTAGACGCGCAACAGTGAGAATCTCTGACCTCTTCACTGTGTGCTTTGATAGGCAAAAGCAACTCTAGGCCATGAATACGCAAACAGATCTTACTGAAGGGCTTTCATCTTGGCCTTTGAGGTGCGTACTAATCTTACTTTGAAGCTGTGGACACATCTGATACCCAGTTGATGTGTCCGATTCCACCCTGCGGTTGCACCCTTTTGGACGCTCTGGTAAATGGGTCACACACATCGCACACCCACTGCGGCCACCTGACCACAGCTGCATGCCTATGATGAAACCATTACTGACTGTGGGTGGGAAAGAGGTCCCACAAGTGGTCGAACGATTGGCAAGATGAGCAAGAGAGGAAGCAACAGCACCACTCACTGTGTGACGCACCGGGTCCCTGGGGAAGGACAATTTATTAAGCTTTCATAGGTCTGCAGCGCCTCAGTACAGATTAATCTCATCACTCCCTGCAGCACTAAAACGACTTCATGTTTGTTTTGCAGTTCTGGGGATGGCGCCCAAGGCCTTCACACAGAGTTACATCCTCAGTTCTTGTTTGCTTTTGATTTTGAAATAAGCTCTCCCAATTTGCAAGACCAGACTCAAACTTGTGATCTTCCTGCTTCAGCTTTTTGACTGCTGGATTTACAGGCATGTATCCCACAGCTGAATTTTCCACAAGTTTGCTTTTTAAAACAGCTCCTGCCATGGAGCTATGCTCTGGGGATTTCCTGGGGAGATTTGAGAACTCTGGACACCGTGCCAGGTGGACTAATGGGCAGCTATGCTGTCATCTGGCTTCCTATGATCTTATTGTACTGTACTGAGGTTCGATCTCCCACATACATTCAGGCCTTCTACACTGTATTCAGCTCTACCTTGCCTTGAACTCACTTTGTAGCCCAGGCTGGCCTTGAACTCACAGCAATCCTCCTGCTTCAGCATCTTAAATGCTGGGATTACAGGTATGTACTACCATACTCAGCCTCACCTTTCAGTTTTTTAAGCTATTTACAAAGGTGTTATTTAAAATCAAATACAACTCTTAATATTCTTAGGTTGGGTGTGGTGGTGTATACCTGTAATCCCAGCACTCAGGAGGCTGAAGTGAGGGTCCAGGCCAGCCTGGGGGACAGTGAATTCAAGGCCAACCTGAACTACATAGTGAGACCCTGTTTCAAAAAACAAAACAAAACAATGACAATTCTTAATATTTTTTTCCTGGAGTATGAGGTTTGCTAAAAATGGAGAACCCAAACCGCAAGAAAGAGAACTATTCTCAGTCACCAACCTCTAGTAGCATTATGTCGTGAGTGTCTAGAGCACTCTGAACTCCGGGAAAGGTAAACACGCAAACACGCCTGATCGGGACACGGGGGGTACAGTGCTCGGAAAGGAAGACAGGAGAGACACGGCACCTTTACTGCCTGCACCGCGTTACACTGCACTGCACGCACAATCTTTATTTTAAGATTCATATATAGTAAAACCGGATCAGTTCACAGAGCCCAGATAATTAAGTAGTGAAAAGGCATTCTTTGTGGCAAGCTACAACGTGACAGACTACAATGTTTATTCTAAACTATCTAAGTGAAGTAAATAACCACAACCAGTTTTCCTAACTTCTCTAGCCCAGGAAGAAATTCATTAGCTCAAGAATGTTGTTAATTTGTCTGCTGTTAGTGTCACAAAGGGTGGCCAGCCACTTCCTCAAGACTTCTGCAAAACAAAGCCAGCTCACAGTATGGATTCCAGAGGGTGAGAGATCTCACTGAGAACAGGCATTCCTATTCTACCTCGGTCTCGCATACCAGGGGGGCTATTGTAAATTGCAGGTTAGAGGGGGTTGGGCCTACAAAGTGACACCTCATCCCCCACAGCATTACTTATAGAATCCAAGAAGCTGAGCCAGTTTAAAAGTGAAGAAATACAAGACAAAGAAGAACAGGTGGACTTTCATTTGTCATTAATGCCTTCAAACCTTGTGCCTTTAGCTAAGGTCAACCTAGGAATGATTGCATGGTCCCCAACTAAGCAGGACATCTAACTCATGCAAAGAAGCCAAAGAAAGGAAAAGCCCTACCCAGTACACAGGCATTCAAATGTGTTCATGTATTTCCCTCCATTGGCCTGCTCCTAACTGTAGACCTGTGTTTCTGACTATGGAACCCTAAATATTTATACATGAAACTTATTTACATTTACAAACGAACAAGGAGAGGGCTGGGGATTTAGCTCAGCGGCATAAGCGCCTCCCTTGCAAGGGGATGGTCATGAGTTCCATCCCTAGTACGGATAACAACCCCCGCCCCCAACAAGGGTAGTCTCTGGGGAAAAGGCAGTTGTTACAGATCAGTTGTCAAAAGAAACAAAATAACTTCCTGGGATGAAAGTAAAAGTCAGAAGCTGGGTGAGCCAGTGCATACTCCAGCACTCAGGAGGTGGAGGCAGGAGGATGGCTTTGAGTTTGAGGCCAATCTGGTCAAGGTAAGCAAGATCAAGGCCAGCTGTACTAACCCTGTCTCACACACACACACATACAAAAAGGCCAGGAGTGGTAGCTAATGCCTGTATTTCCAGCACTCAGGAGGCTGAGGCAGGAGGATTATTGTAAGTTTGAGACCAGCCTGGGTTACAAAGTGAACTCAATGCCAGCCTGAACTGTATAATGAGATCCTGTCTCAAAAAGACAAAACAAAACAAAGCAAAAGAAAGAAAGAAAGAAAAACAAAAAAGAAAATACAGAGAACCCAGAAAGAAAGAAAAATGAAAAGTGTTGGGAGCCGCACCAGCGCTAGTTCACCATGCGCGGCAGTCATGCGGCCTGTAGGAAAAGGCAAAGCCTGAGCTAAATTACCCCTCCCATCGAGTGAGCCAAGTTGGCACCTGCTTCCTGCTCCCTGATTGCCCTGGTGACTTAAACAGCCCGCGCAATAGATTGGTCTACCTAGCAACCAATGACGATGACCAATCAGCTTGCATTGCTTGCTGTTGCCCTATTGGATGATGAGTCCATATATATATGTATGTGACCCTCCCTGCGAGAGGATATAGAGGAAGTCCACCGGTGAGAAAGGACTGGTGGCAGAGCAGAGGCCTCGCGCGGCCCACGCGGAGACAAATAAAGACAAAGTTGCACACCGTCAGAATTTGTCTGTGTTCTTCCTGCCGGCCGGGAGTGACACCGACATCTGGTGGCCCGTACGGGGAACTGATCACTCCTCTCGGTGGTGTGCAACGCTCCAGCGTGGTGCTGTCGGACAGGTGAGTAGGGGATAAACCTGGGCTCTGGGTGGCGCGCACCTACAGGGCTTTTAGACTCCCCTCAGGCTCACGCGTAGGTGACGGGTTCTCTAAGTCACACGCGGTGAGTAACAGCCCTCGGAGGTTGAGGATGGGTAATTTACCGAGCACGGAGGCACGGCCCTTGGTAAAGGCCCTTAGAAAGCTTTTAAAATCTAGAGACCTCAGGGTAGGTCAAAAAACACTAAAACTATTCATAGCGGAGGTAGATAGGGTGGCTCCCTGGTTTTTACCCACGGGGCATTTAAACCTGCCGTCATGGGAGAAGTTAGGCGGGGACCTCGCCTCGGCGGAATTGGGAGGCGATATTTCGCCGGCTATTCGCCCCCTGTGGGAAATGATACATGCGTGTCTTAAAGGGGAGGGGAAGGGGTTCCCGTCGGCAGTTAGAGACGCGGAAATCATGGACGCACGCAAGGCTTTTGAGCAGGCAAAATCGGAATGCTCTCGGGAGGGGTCTATCCAGGGGGAGAAGATCCAGGGAAAGATAGAGAACACCCAAGCTCTGGAGTCCTCCGACTCAGATAGCGAGGAGGAACTAGAAGGTGGGGCAGGAAGCCGAGAGGCCCGAAACCCCTATGCCGAGTTGCGCCGCGAATTGTGTGCGTGCGCCGCCCGAGAAAAGCAAAGAGAGGAAAAAGGACCCCCGAGCGCCCCCTGGCGGGGAGGAGATAGAGAGCCATCCGCTCTGCCCTGGAGTTCATTTCCAAAAGCGATTCCCCACCGAGAGGCCCCTACAGGGGACCCCCCCTTCTCTCAGCCGGCACAGGAAGTGACGCCCCGTTCCACTCTGTCGCGACCGCCATCCTATGACGTCGCGCCGCTGGGCAGACGGTATTTTCATGGGCGGCTGTGGAGGGGTGAACGATGGTCCGGAGGGGATCCACCGATGCAAGGAATAGATTACGGGCCTTATGGAGTATATCCTGTGCAAATGGCCCCAGGCCAAGGGCGCAATGTTTGGAAACCCTTTGAGATAAAACAGATCAGAGAGCTTAAGAGTGCTGTCACTTCCTTCGGTCCTACTGCACCCTATACCATAGCTATGCTAGAAAACTTGTCTTCTGGGCCGCTCACCCCAGCGGACTGGACCCAGTTGGCAAAAGCATGTCTACCCTCAGGCAGCTACTTAGACTGGCGAGCATGGTACGCAGAGTTCTCTGCCAAGCAGGCTAAAAAAAACGCCGGTCGAGGAAACAGGGGCTGGAGATTTAGCTCAGCGGCATAAGCGCCTGCTTTGCAAGCAGGCAGTCGTGAGTTCGATCCCCGGTACTGATAAAAAGGAAAAAGATAAAAAAAATAAATAAATAAATAAAAAATAAAATAAAATAAAAAACAAAAAGGGGGAGTAAGCCAAGGCCTGCCTCCCAAAGGCGCGGTTATCTATGGCATTATTCACATACAATTTTTTAAACTTAAACAGTGAAAATTGCTCCCCAGCTATGGCACATTGTACCCCATACCCAAAAAATAAAGGATGGGTTAGATGGAAAGATGTCCTGACGGGACAATGGATGGGCCCGGATCCGGTAATCAGCTGGAACCGAGGCGCGGTTTGTGCTTTTCCGCAGGAACCGGGACGAGAACCACTGTGGGTCCCAGAGAGGTTGACGCGACAAGTCCCTGGACTGAAGATCAGGCCTGTTCCACCAGAGGCCAACCGCAGACCCAACAACAAGATGAGCCCTAAAAAAACTTCAGGACAATCCCTTTTTGGGGGCCTGAAACGGCTTGCTCCCCTATGTGCTACCCTTGTTAGGCCCTCTATGCTCCTTGTTCTTGCTCCTGCTTATAGGACCATTCTTGCTCCGATGGGTTACATCATTTATTAATGGGCGCCTTGCGGCGGCCCGGCGTCAAGTACGCCTGGTTGCCCATGCGGCCCTGGCAGCAGCCCGTGATGGGCACAATGACCCCCAGGCTTACGCATGGCTCGCTCGACTGGCCTACGACCGGGTCTAGATGTGGCGGGTCTTCCGCACTCCTTCCCTATTAACACCACACAGCAGGGTAGGTGAGTCAATGACGGGTAAGAGCGTGCCTCCCCAGCACGACTCGACCTAAGCCAGGCCCTACCCCATACTGCACAAAAGCCGCTGGATTACTAGAATCTGCCCAGATCTAGATGTCTCTCCGAGGGGATCGCACGGAGGGGCATGAGTGCATGCCTATGTGCATCCAGGTTCCGTCCAGTTCACTCCTGGCCCTGGAAAAAGGACGAGGGTCTCAAGGCCTTGGTGGACCCAGGGACGGCCGACCAGGGTCCAAGCCAAAGGCCTACGGTGGGCCTCAACACAGGGCATAAGCCTCTGCACTCAATCCAGGGCGGGCTGCGATGCGTACATTCATTCAAAATAAATAAAATAGGGGGAGATGTTGGGAGCCGCACCAGCGCTAGTTCACCATGCGCGGCGGTCATGCGGCCTGTAGGAAAAGGCAAAGCCTGAGCTAAATTACCCCTCCCATCGAGTGAGCCAAGTTGGCGCCTGCTTCCTGCCCCCTGATTGCCCTGGTGACTTAAACAGCCCGCGCAATAGATTGGTCTACCTAGCAACCAATGACGATGACCAATCAGCTTGCATTGCTTGCTGTTGCCCTATTGGATGATGAGTCCATATATATATGTATGTGACCCTCCCTGCGAGAGGATATAGAGGAAGTCCACCGGTGAGAAAGGACTGGTGGCAGAACAGAGGCCTCGCGCGGCCCACGCGGAGACAAATAAAGACAAAGTTGCACACCGTCAGAATTTGTCGTGTGTTCTTCCTGCCGGCCGGGAGCGACACCGACAGAAAAGAAAGCAAACTCCAGACCACCAAGTTCCAGCTCTAGTCCCCTAAATGGAGATTCTTATACTAATATTTTTTTTTCTTGCAGTTCAGGGTAGCCTAAAACTCACTTTGCACCCCAGGCTGGCCCCAAACTGGCAGCAATCCTCCTGCCTCAGCCCTGCTCCCAGAGTGCTGGGATTACAGGCGTGCACTACCATGTCCAGCCTCTTATAACAAATCTGTAAGAATCTGCAGTACCTTCATAAGGACTTCCAGAGAAGATGGAGGGCAGGACAGGGAATTAAACCCCAACTATGCACCAAGAAGGGAAAGCTTCACACCACGTCCCCACCTTCTCAGGCACCGCAGCAGGTCTCCTTGCTGTTTTCAAGTCTTCTGTCTGGATGCTCTCTCTCCACATCATCCATATCTTTCACAGTAATCATCAGACCCTAATCTCTACATCTCTACATCTCCTTTGTCTCTACCTTAAATTTGGAGAACCTAAAGCAAAGGAGATGACATTTTTCTGCTGCCAACAAATATTTCATGATATGAGGTAAGGACCTACCCACCTCCTGGACATGGAGATACAGCACAGCACCCATGCACCATGTAAATGCAAGCTATGGTTCCTGATCTAGTCTGGTGCTCCTGGAATTCAGCAAGCAGAGGTTGTGGCTATGAAGGTGGGCAAAGGTTCAGCAGTCAGAAGGACACAGTGCCCAGTAGGTATTCCAACACATAAGATAATACAAGGCCATGCGACCAGATGTGTTCCTATAGACCTGGGGTTAGGGCAGATGCTCCTCAAAAAAGATTCTGTCATCTATATGTCAGGTTCCCATAATGAAACCAAATTCTTTCAAGGGATAGCTCTTAAATTTGTTTAAAAAAAAAAAAACCTGCTTTTTGCGGGGGAGATCTGTCTTTCTGAGACAAGGACACACTATGCAATTCAGGCTGGACTTGAACTCACTTTGTAGCCCAGTCTGGTCTGGAACTCACAGCAATCTTCCTGCCTCAGCCTCCTGAGTGCTGGGATTATAGTGATGTACTACCACACCCAACTCATGGTGCAGACTTTCTCCAGCCATGTCCCCTACAGGTTGGGACTAAATCAAACTTGCAGTTTTTACCAGAAGATAAGAGCTGGTAAGTGAAGCGTTTAATGGAATCTAAGCAGAACAAAAAGTGAACGTGGAGGGGAATGGGGAAGGCAGGATTGAGGCAGAAACTGCACTGCTGGAGTTGGGGTCCTAAGAAAAAGAGGTGGAAGATGGGGCAATGGTCAGAACAAGAATCGAAGGCTGTTTTTTTCTCGGCCAGGGAACAGGTAAGAGACAGCTCCTGCCTGTGAAAGGTCACCATGAGGAAAGGCAGTCATCTCATCCAGGATGCAGCCAGCAAAGGAAAGTCCAGAGTTCCTAAAAAAAGGATAGATTTACAACCGGACACCTGTCATCCTGGGACTCTAAGAAGCTGAAGCAGGAGGATGGAGCCCAGCCCGGGCAACTCAGTAAATGAATGAGACTCTATCTCAATAAAAACTAAAAAGGGGTGGGAATGTTTCTCAGTGCAAAGGCCCTGGGCTCAGTCCTTAGTACCACGCAAAGAAAAGAAAAGAAAAGTCCACTCATTGCTCTTACTGAATTTTATAGCCAAAATTAGGACTGTAGTGTGGGAGTATGAAACGCACATTCCTTTCAGGTTGCAACGTAGGGAGCTTCCCACTGTGCTATACCATGGTTTAATTGAACACTTTCCACTCATTCCACAGACGGCGTGCTGAACAAAAGCCCCTTCCTCTCCCCTCCCACTTCCCACGTGTCGCTGCACGAAGGAGAGAGGGACTGGCGAAGCTGTCCAGATGGATATCTGGATAGGAGAGGTGACCTGCGAGCTCGGATCCGGCAAAGCACATCGGGAAAACCCCTTCGCTCAAGCGGCAGTCGGACAGCCTCGGCCCGCCGCCAGCCCGCGCTGACTTTTAAAAGTGGCCTCTGTTCGTCCCGCCCCGGAAGTGACGACAAGCACACGGCCCGCCCGTTTCCCGTCGGGCCTCGCGACGGCGGCGGGAACATGGCGGCGGCGGGAGCCCTGGAACGGAGCTTTTTGGAGCTCAGCGGTGCTGAGCGCGAAAGACTGAGACAGTTTCGGGAATTCACAGTCTGCGGCCTTGGTAAGGAAGTGACCTGTGACGGTACGCGATCCGGGTCTTCCTTTCGGTTTCCTTCCACAGATACCTGACCAGCCAGTTTATTCTCCTGAGAGTGCACATGCCGAGATAGCCTGTGAGTCTCTGGACTTCTTCCCTCTTCCCTGGCGACTTGATTTCTCCCTCCTTTGCCCCTTGCATTTGGGTTGTTAGTACATCGCAGTTGCTTCGGCAGCGCCCTGCGTCCCTGTCTTCCTGGCGGAGCTCGGGTGCAAGCTGACCGCGTTCGTTTTACAGGGACCTCCAGTGCTGCGCCGGGAGCAGTGAAATACAGCGAGAGCGCAGGGGGCTTCTACTATGTGGAGAGCGGCAAGCTGTTCTCTGTCACGAGAAATAGGTTCATTCATTGGTAAGTGCCGTGCTGGCCACACCCCCCTTGCGTGGTAGGGCTGTCCGCCTAGGAACATCCATGGCTCTCCCCAAAGCGTCATTGCTAGCAGCACTAATGAATGCACCTTAGGAAAAGAGAGACAGTTTTCAGGTAAGAATCAGGAAAGTAGGAGGCAGAGTTCTTTCCAAGAAAGGGGTCCCCACTACCCGGGTAGTCAAAACAGGCAGAACACAGGTTAGGGGACACTGTGCCCTGAAGACCAGGTCCCCAACTCCCCCCCCCCCGCTTTTTTTTTTTAATGGGTCCATCTCAGAAGCCGGACCATAAATGTAGATTTTTAAAAAAGAAATTCAGGTTTGCCAAAAGCTAGTCACCAGCAGGAACCCATTATGTTTTTATAGCCCTTACAGCTTCTTTCTACAGCTGAGTTTGAATTCTGTATGTCAAATATTGCTGTAAGTACTGGGATGAAACGGTGAATAAAATCAACCACTATTTTCTCAGTACAAAACGTTGTAGCTGTGTGAGAATAGATGTGAACTCACCTTTTGTGTGACAGTTTCACAAAGAAAAAGACATCAGTGATCAAAATATAGGTATGTAATATGGTGTTCCCACTTGCTCCAGAGGAAGAGTGTAGGAGTTTGAGGGGCTAAAAGGAAGATCCGATATTACTGGTGGTGCAGGGAAAGGTTTGTGTAAAGAGTTACAGTTAAATTGAGAGCTGACGATGAAAGGTTGGGGATGGGAAGAGAACAATCTAATGAGCAAGATTAGCATATGTAAAAGCTATAGGTTGAGAACTTGATAGGTTTGAGGAATTTATCAAAAGTCCATACGGCTTATATGCAGTATGTAAAACAAAGTGATGTGAGATGCTGAGCCCACATAGGCAGGATATAGGTTGTGGAGGAACTTCCAAGCAATTTTTAAGATTTTTTAAACTGAGCTTGAACTCACTGTGTAGTCCAAGCTATCCTCAAACTTTTGGTGATCCTCTTGCCTCAGCCTTCTGAGTGTTGTTATTACAGGCATGCACCACGATGCCCAGCAAGAATTTCTGATTTTTAGAGTCACCAATATGATCAAAACTGCATTTTTTTTTTTTTTTTTTTTTGTCTTTTTCCTTTTTATCGTTACTGGGGATCGAACTCACGACTGCCTGCTTTGAAGGCAGGCGCTTATGCCACTGAGCTAAACCCCCAGCCCCAAAACTGCATTTTTGAAAAGCAGACTACTTTATAGAAAGGAATTTGGATTAAGTAGGTAAAATACAGGTTGTGAACAATCGGCTTTGATCATGGCCAAAGTAACGTATGCTGATGGCTCAATTGTGGAAGTGGCTAGGGCAGTGACAGAAAACCTTTTAAAGAGTTTTCAATGATGTAAAAAACACACTGAGGCACACATGCCATAGGTTCACCACTACTGGGCTATTGCAGGAGAAATAAATAGACTCAAAATACACTTAGAAATTAGTTTCATTGAGGTTTGATGATAATCAAACACGGAATGGCTGTTGGGAAGGGAAAGGGAAGGCACAAGACAGCTCCTTAGTTTCTAATGTGACTAACCAGATTTGCAAGGAAGGGGTTGCCATTTTTGAGACAAGATGGATTTGGGAGTTATGAATAATTTCTGTTCACGTACAAAATTGGAAGTGCCTATGTAGCTACCTTGTGGAAATGCCCAAATAAGCATTGAAAAGTACAGATCTAGGGGCTGGGGATTTAGCTCAGGGGCATAAGCACCTGCCTTGCAATCAGGCAGTCGTGAGTTCGATCCCTGGTACTGATAAAAAAGAAAAAGACAATAAAAAAAAAAAGAAAGAAAAGTACAGATTTGAGGCTTTTATTAGAGTTACAAATCTCAGTTATTTAAGAAGTATATTTTGTGTGTATATATTTTAGTGTCTTGAGGCTACAGATAAAGCATAAAACAAAACAGAGTTCTAGTAAGACTGGCAATAAAAGTAACAACAAGGAGTAAATATAGCTGGGTGGGAGTGGTGGCCCACATCTGTAATCCCACAGCACATGGGGACCTGAGGCAGGAGGATCACACAAGGCAGCCTCAACTACCTAGCAGCACTCTGTCTCAGAAAAACAAACAAACAAAAAAGAAGTAAAGATAACTGCCAGGTGAGAAGTGAAGTATGAGGAGGAAAGAGCAACACCCTGGGGTCAGGGTTTTACATGAGATGGTCAGGACTGAGGGCTCCACTAGCATTTGAGCAGACAGAATAAGGCTTGGGAGAGGGGGATATATGTTTCAGGTAGAGCCTTCTGAGGAAAGAAACAGAGTTCAGAGGTCCCTGGGATAGAAGTATGTAAGTGCAGAAATGTCACCATGTGTCTTGAAAGGCTTGCCATGACTGCTGGGCTGAAAGCAGAGTATAGGAGAGGGAGAAAGAGGAGCAGAGGGACATAATACAGATGAGAGACAGGTGGTGGTCACAGGGCCTGTGGCGTCACGGTGGGTCTGTTAACCATTTGTGTTGTGTGAAATGCAGAGTAGGCACAGGTTTGTAGCTTAAACATGGAGGTTATCCAGGTGGCTAAGCGAGTTGGAATCCAGTGTAGGTAGCAGGAAGCAAGTTTTTGCTTAGGTTTTTGGTGGAATTCTTTGCCCCCTCCAGTTTGATGGGGACTTCTGGTGCCAAGCAGATACCCAGGAAGCATGCTGAGGCAGCGATCAGGGATTCTGGGGTAGAGCGTGGGCTAAGGATGTGGATTAGGCCTTGTTGCTGTTAGACAGCATCGGTGATGTTGACGCTTTGGGAGGTCCGCAGCGGCCCTGGCCTCTGTCTACCACCTGCCCCCACTCCAGGGCCTCCATACAACAACTAGTGCCCGCTGTAGACTCTGTGAGGTGTCCCTGGAGACAGGGCTGCCTCCCCTCCAGCTGAGGACCACACGTGTAGGAAAGACCTAAGAACTGTTCCTGTGGCACTGACATTCAGGCAGCACAGGAAGCAGCAGAGGCGCTGGAGAAGGAGTAACTGCTTAGGTGAGAACTGAACAAAGAGCAAGGGCCTAGAAGCTGAAGAAGTCCAAGGAGAATGAAAGCCAGCAAATGAGATGAGATGGGAATCGGCTGTTGCGTCCGGAGGTTGTGGTCATGGGATAGCTGCCTGCGTAGTAGAGTGGTTCCAGGGAGCTCCTTGGCAAAGCAGTGCTCTAAAGAAAGCCACAAAAGCGTGTGGCAGGGTTAGAAGTGCTGTGGGGGGTTTCCGCACAGCTGGGGAAGACCCCTTCCATGCAGTTGGGATGTATGTGATCAAAAGAAGAGAAGATGGAAGAAATTGAGAAGGTGAGACACGGGTGGTTATTGAAGCCATTGAGAATCATGGCAGTGGACTGGGTCTGGTGGTGCACACCTGTAATCCCAGTGCTGAGGAGGCTAAAGCAGGAGGATTGCTGAAAGTTCAGGGCCTGGACTACATATTGAGATTAAAAAAGTGAAAAATAAAGGGATGCAGATGTAGCCCGGTAATAAAGTACTCCAGGTTTAATCCCAGTGGCATACAAAGGCACACATACATAGGCTGTAAGTTTCAGAAATGCCTCTCTGATCAGCATTATAATGAGCTTTGAATTTCGTTAGACTGTGTTTTATAAATCTGTTTAACATGGTGATTTGGAATGTAAAAATGGTCCAATTTTTTCCCAAAATTTTCAGTTTTCCTGTATTCCAATTCTCCTGTATTTTAGTGTAGTAATTATTGCAAAAGAAAAGCGTAAGCTCTTTTTGCAAATGTTTTTCCTCTTTTTACAGGAAGACCTGTGGGGATACAGTGGAGCTGGTGGAGGAGTCACTGGACATCAATCTGCTCAACAATGCAGTTCGCCTCAAATTTCAGAACTGCAGTATCCTGCCCGGCGGGGTTTACGTGGTCGAGACCCAAACTCACGTGATCATCATGATACTGACCAATCAGACAGTGCACAGGCTGCTTCTGCTCCACCCTTCCCGGATGTACAGAAGTGTATGTTGTCCAGCCAGAATCTGGTGTTTCTGAGATTACCGCAGGCATCATTCATTCACTGCTGGAACAGTATTCTTTGGAACTAATGAAAATTTAATTTCCTCGTTAGTTCTTAGCATGCTGTGACAGTTACTATTTTTTTTTTTGTCTTTTTCTTTTTTATCGGTATCAGGTATCAAACTCACGACCGCCTGCTTGCAAGGCAGCTGCTTATGCCGCTGAGCTAAATCCCCAGCCCCGACAGTTACTATTTTAAATGATCAGAAATACATTTTAAGTGGATGAAATAGTTCTCTTAAAAGTGTAGCTTTCTTGGGCCGGGGATGTGCCTCAGTAGCCTACCTGGCAAGTGTGAGGCCCTGAGTTTAATTCCTGGTACAAAAAAAAAAAAAATAGCTTTCCTCTTAGACTGTTATTCTTTATAACCTATCTTAGTATTTGAGAGGAACTAAGCAAAATACAGGTTATTTTGTATTTCTCTTTTTCTTGGCTTTTCAGGAGTTAGTAACAGAAAGCCAGATGCAGTCAATCTTCACTGACATTGGGAAGGTGGACTTCAGGGACCCCTGCAGCTACCAGCTAATTCCAGCAGTGCCTGGCCTGTCCCCTCATGCTGCTGCCTCAGCCGCCTGGCTCAGCAGCGACGGGGAAGCCCTGTTCGCACTCCCATCTGCTGCTGGCGGCATTTTCATCCTTAAACTATCTCCTTATGATAGACCAGGTAAGGGAATTTCTCCTGGCTCAGGAAGTGTGATGTTAAAACAGCCTCAGGAAGAGAATAGGAGGAGAAGCAAGCTTTATCTTGTGAAGGAACAAATTTCTTAGGGTGAATGTTATCATGTATATCTAAAATGTACCAAGAAAATTTCAGAAAGCAAAAAAATTTAACAGTATTGCCATTACAAAGTACACAGGCCTCAGGAGGTCAGCCCTGAGGAGCCTGATGCTGGCCTGTGGGCAGTGGGCATTGTATGGGGTAGAGAGCAGGAGTACATCCTGCTGTGTGCCCCAGTGCCCACTGTAGTCCTCACCCCCCCCCCCATGCTGGCTTTATCTCCATTTTAATCTGTTCCCTCTGAAGTAGACTCAGGCTCCATGAGGACAGGTTGCAGCCCTCCCTGCTGAGTCCCAGCTCTGGGCCCCCTGGCCTAGGAGGTCCCAGAAGTTGATTAGGAAAGGCAGTGTGGGTTCCTAGGAGTGTGAAATGCTTCTGCCACTGAGAGTGGGGGACTCACGTGCTCTAGACGTGGCACCTTTGAGGACAGGTGTGGGGTTGTTGCCTGCTGGGAGATCACCCCTGGCTGCAGGGTTCCCTGAGCACTCAGGGACTGGGGGATCTTGTTGCAGGCACACTGGCGGTTGTGGAGCTGAAACAGAGCTCCGTAATGCAGCGACTGCTCACAGGCTGGATGCCAACAGCCATCAGGTGAGTGGCCCCAGTAGCTGAGCAGCACCTGAATCCTCTCCTCGCTGGGCAGTGCCTCTGGTGATCGGCGTCACTGGCCCAGTGTGCAGTGCTCGGGAAGGAGAGGGCTGGGCATGCAAGGTGTCCTCCTGAGGACAGCGGAAGTGTAGTTGTGTGATCCCAGCACATATACTCTACATTCTTCTTTTTCTTTCTGCCAAGCCAAGAGTGTGCTTATTAATTGTATGTATTTTTTTCTTTTGGTAGTGGGGATTGAATGTAAGACCAACACACACTAGGCTTCCACGGAACCACACACCCCTAGCCCTTTGTATTTTGAGACAGGATCTCAGTAAGCTGCCCAAGCTGGCCTCAAACTTGTATGCTACTGCCTCAGCCTCCTGGGTAGCTGGGTTTACAGGCATTACCCCTGCTTTGTTGTGTTTCTTGGGTGGAACATTTTAGTGATTCAACTGCTAGCCATAGTAAGCCTCTAAAACCTTGGTCTTCTGTTGTTAGGGGTGATCAGGGGCCATCAGATCGTGCTCTCAGCCTTGCTGTCCACTGTGTCGAGCATGATGCCTTCCTGTTTGCCCTGTGTCAGGACCACAAGCTACGGATGTGGTCATATAAGGTAAGTGCTGTTCACCATGACAGAATTATAAAGGGATTGTGACTTCTGAGAGAATGGAAACAGGCTTGCTGCTTCCCCTAAAGATAATCAGATTGATCAGTTTGGAAGTTATGGGTCATTTCCAGATCCAATTTCCTTTAGGTTCATTTTGTGTAAATCACTCCCCAGCTTATTATGTATGTTGAAAATTGTGACCCATGGGGGCTAGGGATTTAGCTCAGCAGCATAAGCGCCTTGCCTTGCAAGTGTGTGGTCATGAGTTCAATACCCAGCACCAATAAAAAAGAAAGAAAAGAAAAAAGACCAAAAAAAAAAAATTGTGACCCCTACAAGAAAGTAGAAAGGAAAGTACAAAAGTATACCTTTGATTTAAGAGCAACAAATGTGTTATCTTAGTCTTTTTAGTGTTTTTTTGTTTTTTGCTATGTAGTTCAAACTGGCCTTGAACTCACAATGTAACCCAGCTGGCCTTGAACCCTTGGCAATCCTCAGCCTCCATCTGCTGGGATGACAGGTGTGAGCCACCACACCTTGCGTCACCTCCTAACCATTATCTTGTGCAGGACCAGATGTGTCTGATGGTGGCCGACATGCTGGACTATGTCCCTGTGAACAAAGACCTTCGGCTCATGGCTGGGACGGGACACAGACTCCGACTTGCGTATTCGCCTTCCCTGGGCCTCTACCTAGGAGCCTATGTGCATGCTCCACAGCGCGGGCAGGTATGGGCAGAGATGTGGAAGATAGCCCGCACCAGTGTCTCCCTGGGTGATAGTGAGATTTCCTGGGCCCTGATGAGGAGGTCTTGAAGGAAATGGAATCTAAAGAAACAGGAAAGGAAGCATGAACCCAGCCTGCAGAAAGCACACACACAAGTCTGGCTGGGGAACCGGATTACTGTGCAGGGGTGCAGGCGCGTTGTGCTCTTAGGTGGGCACTGTTAGAAGTGACTTTGCTCTGCAGCCCAAGGCAGATTGCTGTGTGGAAGCAGGGCACTGGGATCTCACACCAGGAGTGGCCCTACTGGATCCTGGCACTGTGCCCTCCCCACCCTTGTCCAAAGCAGCAAGGCAGGTTTATACCCACACTGTGCTGTGCTCTCATTCCCCACTGGGTGACCACTCCCATCTGTGGGCTTGGGCTGCCCCTCCACGTAGCCCCTCTTCACCCTGTTCGGGCCTGAAGCCAACCCCTGTGCCAGCCCCAGGCAATAGCCAGCTTTGCTCCTTCTCCATCTCCAACCTGCCCTGAGCACCCCTCCAAGTGGAAGCTCTTGTCCTATGTCTGCACCCCAAACTGTGAACTACATTCCACATCTCTGCCACATCAAACTGGGCCACCCCTGAATCCACAGGCTCATGCAGCCTATCCCAGGATCCCCTGATGCTCCTAGGACTGGTGGCTTGGGGACAAAGAGGGAAGTTGTTTGCTGAAGTGAAAGCCCAAGGTTCATCTAAACTGTGGGAACTATCTGCTCTTCCTCTGAAGGAAGACCGTGCAGGATGGTCATACAGATCTTCTGTGCTCTGGGCTGCAGGCGGTGGTGGCACCCCTGCTCTTAGTTCCCTCAGGTCTTGCTTACATGGCAGTCTCGGGGTCACTTCTCCCCACATTCCAGTGAGCTTATCACTGTAAAGTAACAGTTCTTGCTTTTTGGGGCTCAGGAGTCCATTATACTCATCAAGGTTTCAGACACCCAGCAAGCATTATTTACATGGGTGCTCTTTGTAGGTTTTTAAAACATGTACATAGCTATTTAGAAATAGTGCTAGTAACTCACTCCATGATGATAGGAGTGTGATAAAATGACCCTACATTGCTGAGTCGCCCCCTCATTTAGAAGAATGGCATTGTGCCTTTTGCAAACCTCCTTAGTGTCCAGTTTAGTAAAGGGCCACAGCCTCCCGTTTCCTTACCTAGGCTGTGGCAGGAGATTGCCATGGCTGTAGCACATGCAGAGGGTCTGGCTTTACACAGGCAGCACTGGAAAAGCGAAGAGCAGCTCGTTGGCCTCATAGGTCCTCGTGGACAGGGCCAGGTTCTGCTTCGCAGGGTAGAAATCTATATGTGTCGCCATCATTTGTGTGTGTGTGTGGTCACACTCGGTAGCTGTCCCTGGTTGCTGGTTTGGGGAATGCTGGGTGGGGACTCAGATAGTGTTCTGACATCACTGTGTCCCTCCACAGTGCAGGCTCTCACTTAGTGGGCAGAGTCTGTCTCGCAGGTGAAAGTGTTCTAGAGACTGATGAGACAGCTGTGAGAATGTGCTTGCCCCTAGCACACTGCATACCTAACAGTGGTTAAGTCAGTAAATTCCTGGTTTTGATTTTTTTTTTTATCTTTTTTTGGCACTGGGGATCGAACTCATGACCTCATGCTTGCCAGGCAGGTGCTTGTGCCACTGAACTATTATCCCCAGGTGTTTTGGTTTTTTTTAAGTAATGATTTCTGAACATGAATAACCCTCTCTTAGAAAAGTAATGTGCAGACTGTTTCAACTAATAAACCATTACCTTGTGTTTTAACAGTTCTGCATTTTCCAGTTGGTGAGCACTGAGAATAACCGCTATAGTCTCGATCACATTGCCTCGCTCTTCACTTCTCAGGTGGGTGGACCGGCCCCTCCATGCCACACATGCAGTGAGGGGGAGTTGGCTGGTGCCAGGCATGGTAACACATGCCTGTAGTCCCAGCTACTCAAGGAGACAGGCAGGAGGATCACTTGAGCCCATGAGTTTAAATACAGCCTCGGCAACATAGTGGGATTAAGTCTCAAAAACATGTAAACAAGCGCAGAGAACTATCAGGTGACTCTGCTATCTGATGTGTGAAGTTTCACTTGGGCTTCGGCATGTTCACGTGGTCTGTATTTGTATGCTGTATATTCACATTGTACTCCCAACACAGATCGAGGTTACCGTGCACAGCTGCCTTTTCTTTGGGTTCTGAACCCTTTCTCCCTGCTTCTCCCTAGGAGACACTGGTGGACTTCGCCTTAACCCCCACAGACGTCTGGGCCCTGTGGCATGATGCTGAGAACCAGACCATTGTGAAATACATCAACTTCGAGCAGTACGGTCCCCGCCCTCCCCCACCAAGCCAGGCCCACATGCTGGGGCAGGGCTTTCTATGTGGGCCAGGTCAGGGGTTTCCAAGGGAAGGGTTCAAAACTGGATTTTGCTGCTGTTTTTGGAATATTGGAGACTAAACACAGGGCCTTCATCCTAAGCCACATCCCCAGGCCTTTTTTTTTTTTTTTTTTTTAATTATGAGTTAAGACAGTCTCAGTAGCCTTGGACTGGAATTTGTGATCCTCCTGCCTCAGCTTCCCAGAGTGCTGGGATTGCAGGCATGTGCCACCACACCCAGCTTCTGTTTTCTAAAGTACCTTCTTTTGCATTTTATGTAATTCTATTTTTGCTGCCTTTGTTTTAGAACAAGGTAGGAATACTTAAGGTTGGACCAAGATAAGGAAAATAACGTTTCTTGAAGGACAGGCAGCATACATCCAACACTTCTAATCTGAAAATATTCTTTACTTCTGAGCAAAAGCTGTTACTCAAACGCAGCCCCTCGTGTTCTTATTTTTCTCCTCATGTGATGAGTGCTAAATTGCATAAGAACACATCTTAAACTTTTTAAAATGGGAAACTTACTTTTTTCAAAAGAAAAGTCAGATAAAGTAAAAACACTATTCTGAGTATAAAATGACAATGTAATGTGTCAATAATCTAATATTAGATGAATTCAGGATATGAATTAGGAGCTCCATGTGTGATGCTACAGTTTGAACGCAAGGAGTGCTGAGTGCTGTGTCCACCCCTTTAAGTTATTTTATTGTGACACAGGGTCTCAAGTTGGTCACACTGCCCTCAAACTTGTAGTCCTCCAATCTCAGCCTCCTGAAGAGCCAGGATCACACACATGGGAACATGGAATATTGTGCCCACCTAGCTTAAAAGTTTATCATGGTTACAAGTACATTTTTTAAACTTTCACTGTTAGGGTTTTTTTTTTTTGACACAAGGTCTGGCTGTGTCGTTCAGATTGGTCTTGAACTCATTGGCCTCACACTTAAAACAACACAGTGCTCCCACCTCAGCCTCCCAAGTGCTAGGATTATAAGTATGTTCCACCGCATCTGGGTTTTTTGTTGTTTTTTGAGACAAGGTCCCACTATGTACATTAGGTGGGCCTTAATTTGCAGCCTCCCAAGTACACCCCTATAATTCTAGCTACTCAGCAGGTTGAGGCAGGAGGATCTAAGCCAAGGCCAACCTGTACAACTCAGTACACCCTGTCTTGGAACTACTTAGCTCAGTAAGAAGTGTGTCCCCCAGTCCAGCGCTAGGAACTGTGTTCGGGGAGGAAGACTGCCTATGGCTAGCACAGTGGCTGTGGTGCAGTGGGGATCTTCATCTACAAGGCCAGCTCTGGCCAGACCCTAGTCACAACATGCACATGTGTGGTCTGTGGTAAACTGACCCCCATCTGTCTCTGCAGTAACGTGGCTGGCCAGTGGAATCCAGTCTTCTTGCAGCCGCTGCCTGAGGAGGAGCTCGTCATCAGGGATGATCAGGACCCCAGGGTGAGCCCTACCTTGGGTGCTATTACATAAGCATGTGATTTGCCTTTGTTGTTACTTTGAGAAGACTTGGTTGGGGGTAAACGTGACTGAAGTAGGTGGCATGTGTGTACAAATCTGCCAAAATGAAACCCATTCCACTGGGTACCTTTTTTTCTTTTTTGGTTTTTTTTTGACATTGGGACTCACTCTGTGCTTTAAGCTACCTTTGAACCTTGAACTTACTGCACTTCTCCTGCATCAGTCTCCCAGAGTGCTGAAATCACAGGTGTGCACAACCACACCTAACTTCTGTATAGATTTTGTTTCATTTTGTGTTTTTGAGACAGGATCTCACTCTGTAGTCCAGGTTGCCCTTGAGCTTATTTTGTAGCCCAGGCTGACCTCAAACTTGCAGTGATCCTCCTGCCACAGCCTCCCAAGTGCTAGGATTACAGGCATATGCCCCCACACTGGCTAAAAGTACATTTTATTTTTATTTAGGTGGGGTTTTTTTGGTTTTTGGTTTTTTGTACCAAGAATTGAACTCTGGACCTTGCACTTGCCAGGCAGGAGCTTGTGCTGCTGAATTACATCCCCGACCTGTCAGATTTTTTTTTTTTTTTCTTTTTTCTTAAAAAGACGAGGTGGTTGTATTGGAACTCTCAGCAGCAGGTGCCCTGAACTGACTGAAGGGCAGGAAGAATGAGGCAGCTTATGCAGCTGCTCAAGGTGCAGCTTCTGCTCACCCGCTGCCCCTGGCAGGCTTCCTGGTGCAGCCGGCCTCCATGGAGAGCGTGCTGCTGAGCACAGGCTGCTGGGGAGCAGAGCAGCACCTCAGACCTGCTTGCTTCCTGGAGGGGATGCCTGCTCATTCCTGCAGAGGATCTTCGAGGTCCCTGTGGCAGGGGAAGGCAGGAGCGTGAATGGATGACAGGCAGTTGTTTTGCTGCTTGGGAGCAAGTGTAGTCTGTGAGAGTCAGTGAAAGTGATGAGGCAGCGGGAGATTTTCCATCTCACTATTTCCTTTTCATGTTGGGGAGAGCCCGGCACTGTTGGAGTTTTATTTACATTTAATCCCTACTCTTGGGAGTCAAGGACAAGTGCTTTGCACAGCTGCAGCCAGGTTGGCCGCACTGTCATCTTAGTAACACGGATGCCTAGCAAGCAGGGTCCGTGTCCGGTGTGAGGCCGGCCCTCAGCAGCCCTGTACTGGGTGGGAGTGAGGAGGCCATGTAAGGTCCTGTGGCGACCGGGGACACCTCAGATGACAGAGAACACAGCCCGCCTGCAGTACCGCCTGCCATGTACCCCGGGCGAACGTGTAGAACTCTCCCAAGATGCTGATGCCCATTCCCTGTCCCTGCAGGAGATATATCTGCGGAGTCTTTTCACACCAGGACGATTCATAAATGGAGCTTTGTGTAAAGCTTTACAGGTCAGCAAGAAAACCTTGTGTGCTTGAGACTTGCCAATTTCACTGCTCTTTCCTGTCTTGAATGTACTAAATGCTGAATGTATGCTGGCATGTGATACCTTGGTCATTTTTTTTTCTTACTTTTATTATTTTTTTCATACCAGGGATTGAGCTAAACCCCCAGTCCCTTAATCATTATTTTAAATGTTCTTTCCACTGAACAAATGTCTTGGCAGCGAGAGCCAAGCAGGCCTTACCTCCAGTGGTGGGAAGCACATCAGAGGCGGGAGAGGTCCTTGGGCTTTGTGGAGAGTATGTTTGCTGCAAATGTGAAGTGGTTTGGGTTTCTTGCTTGCTTGGGTTGGTTCATGGTTTGATATGAGACCTGGTTTCACTGTGCAGTGTAGACTGCTGTGAAATGTGCTGTGTAGCCAAGGCTGGCCTCAAGCTCCTGACCTTCCGCAGCCTCTCAGATCACAGTGTGTACTACCATGCCTAGCTTTTGGGGAATTTTGACTGTACTGTTTTTATGCTTTTCTTAGTACAGCGAATGTCTGAGTTAGTGCATGTTTAAGAAAACTTAATATTTTTTAGCTTCTAAGACACACAGTATAAGAGCTGCTTATGTTGAAAAAGTTTTTCTTACAGTAATAGGGATCCTCTCCAGGGTACTCTAACACCCTTGGCTACTTATTTACTTATTTTATTGAGATGGTCTCACTATGTAGTTCAGGCTGGCCCTGAACTAACTTGTAAGCCAGCTGGCTTGGAATTTGCAGCAGTCATCCCGTCTCAGCCTCCCGAGGGCTGATTACAGGTGTGTACCACTGCACCCAGTTTCTTGGCTCTTTGCATTTTGAAGCACGGTCTCACTGAGTAGCCCAGGGTGGCTGCTCGGGACTGCAGGTTGTACACCACCACATGTGGCTTACCAAGGTGCTCTTTAGAGTGACATAAAGTTCCTTAAGATTTTACTGAGCTTCATGGTCATGGAATTGAGACATCGTCTAGTGTCAGTCAGCCGCCTACCTTGGGAATTCTCCCTGTAGGCGCTCCCTTGGCCTTAAGCCACCTCTGCCTCAATTGGCCAGTATCACAGCTCGTGTGCAAGGCTCTCCTCCCATGCTGTCCTCTAAATGTGCTTCCCTCAAATGAACTAAACTACACTTCTGTGCTAGTGGTGTCAGAACCTCACAGACCATTTCACGCGGCCACTGGCTTCAGAACCCTCCCACACCTTCTGGGCCCTTGACTTTTATCCTAAGTGTCCTGAATCTTGGGATCTGACTTTTTCTCTTGTGTGTCCGAGAAAACTGTAGGAAACACAATCATCACCTTCTAAGAGGTTCTTCTTTTAGCTCAACAGCGAGTCCTCCTCATTAACAATAATTATGCAGTTTCTCATGGTATCTCTCACACAGTGGGATATTAAGTCATCTGTGAAGCATTTAGCAGATGCTTTGCTTTAGCAGGGTTATTCCCAGTGGGTTAACCCACACCACCACTGTTCTAGCTTTGGTGGGAGGGTGGTGGAATTGGGGTTGTGAACCCAAGGCCTTCACACTGAGCTCTATCCCCAGCCCTTTTTATTTCGAGACAGTGTCTTGCCAAGTTCCCAGGTAGGGCTTGAACTTCTGGCTTCCATGCTCAGCCTCCGGGAGTGTTGGGGTTGCAGGCTCCTGGCCACGCCCAGCTTCTGATTTCTTCCTGCTCTCTTAGAGTGTGTGCTTAGACCATCTGCATCTTTCCTTCCAGCTGTGCAGCAGCAATTATTCCATTTCTGTAATGACCTGAACTGCTCCATGGTAATTTTGATTCCTGTGCTTGGAGTTTATTCTGCTCTATAGAAACTACTATGAAATTGCTAGAATTTCTCAGAAGTCATTTGTGCAGCGCCTTAGGGTCTCCACTGTATGGCTGGATATTGCTTCAGTACCTTCTAAGTGGCCTATTTGGCATTCAGTCGTGGGCATCATGTCATTCTCTACAATGCCGCTTTTACTTTTAGATTTTCTGCCGAGGAACTGAGAGGAATTTGGATCTTTCTTGGAATGAACTAAAGAAAGAAGTCACTTTAGCTGTGGAATCTGAGGTGAGGCTGGGTGGAAAAGGAATCATTTCTCACATCCTCAAGGAGGGGCAGATCAGCACTGAGGGGCTGTCAGGACTGTTAGGCCACCTCGCCCCGGTGGGCTGTAAACATCTGAGCTTCTCACTAGAGAAGCAACTGTGCGGCTGCCAGGTTAGTGGTATTTAATAGACATTAGCAATAGTGTGTCCCTTCGGCTATGGCTCGTAGAGTCCTAATGGACAATCACGATTTGGGGGAGAAAGATTCCAGATGCCTCCAGAGGTTAACTTTAATTTTTCTTCTGTCTTCAGCTCCACGGCAGTGTGACAGAGTACGAGTTCTCCCAGCAGGACTTCCGAAATCTGCAGCACGAGTTCTGGAGCAAGTTCTATGCCTGCTGTCTGCAGTATCAGGAGGCCCTGTCCCAGCCCCTTGCCCTGCTCCTGAACCCGCACACAAACATGCTGTGCCTGCTGAAGAAGGTGAGCGTGGACCGCAGGCCTCAGGCCACAGGGCCTTGGGCGGGGGTCGGGAGGCCCTGAAACCATAGTGCGTCTGCAGCCTTTCTCACCCTATTTCCTGTCCCTTGTTCTGTGTTTCCTTTCTTCTGAACCACTTGAGAGTTGTGGGTATTGTGCCCTTTACCTGAGCCATTTCAGTATGTATCTGTAAATCAGGATGTCCTCAGAAGCAACCAATCTAACCAAGCCAATCTAAAGGTCAGGCAGTTTCAAGCCTGTTACAGTGGTGAATACCTGGGAGGATGAAGCAGGAGAATCTCAAGTTCAAGCCTAACCTGGGTAATTTAGCAACTTAGCAAGACCTTCTCTCAAAATATAAAAAGGGCTTGGTGTGTAACTCACCGTGAAAGCCTGGGCTCAATCCCCAGTACTTCCCCGCCCCCAAAAAGAGGCCATTTGATACTGTTATAATAGTATGCAGTTTATTTAAATTTTATCAGTTGTGCCATAATTATTCTTCCAGATCCATGATCTGGTCCAAGTTCTGAAATATTTGGTTGTAGCTTCATCTCAAGCTGTGATCAGCCTTTGTTCATCTTTCATAACACCGACAGTTTTTAAGAGTATTCCTGTTAACATTGCAGTGTCCCTTGACTTGAGTTTGTGTCTCCTCATGATGAGATTCATGATTTCACTTTTTTTGTTTTCGTCAGTGCTGGGACTAAACCCGAGGCTTGGCATGCTGGGCACTGTACTACTGAACTATACCCCCAGGCCATGACCCTTGTTTTAAGTGACAGGTCAGATTGTACATGTGTGTCATGTATAACATGATTTGTTCCACATGACACACTGTGAACTGTTACTCATTTTACCAATGTAAAAAATGACCGATGAAGCCATATGTGGTGGTCCACACCTGTGATCCCAGCACTTGGGAGGCTGAGACAGGAGGATTGTTTGGAGTTCAAGGCCAGCCTAGGATACTGAGTGAGTTTAAGGCCAACCTGAACTGCATAGTGAAATCCTGTCTCCAAAAGAAAAGAAAAACCTCACTGATGAGTCCCTGGGTTTAGTCCCCAGCACAACACACACACATTTGGTAAAAACATTAACAGCAAGCTTTGTATTCCCAGGGGTACATCTCTTTCCTTCTGCCCACTTCCTTAGTGGATCACTTGTATCTCCTGCCAGAAGAGAACTTTTTGACAGAGGATGAGACAGCCATATCTGATGGTAATAATTATTATTATTTTATGTCTGTATTTAATTCCCTCCCTAAGTGAACCTTATACTTTATGTCAAGTGGATGCAAAATTCACTGATCACCGCTGTGACATGTCCTGGCCATGTTCTCTCAGTGTAGACACTTAGGGAAAGCCAAAGAGGCTTAAACATCTCTGAATTCTCAGATGCTTGGCAGCCAGTTATTAATAGTTCTTAACATGATGAATTAGCTAGTCAGTGTCTGAAGATTCAAGTGTCCCCTGTCTCTTACTCACAGACATGGAGGTTGCCCGGGATGTCATGTGTCTTATGAAATGCCTGCGGATGATTGGAGAGTCGGTGACCACGGACATGTCTGTCCTGATGGAGATGAACTGTCACAACCTGCAGTCTCCAGAAAAGGCTGCAGAACGGATTCTGCAAGACATGATCATTATTGATATGTAAGGAGGGTTAGGGCAAAGTACCTTTCCTAATAGAAATTAAGTGATTTCTAGGGCCAAATAGGGGTTTGAATGTATGTTCAAGTGTGTACAAAGTAGTGGCTAAAATTGAAAATATTTTTCCTTGCCTCTAAACAGTTGTTTCTGCTGAGTGTGTGTGTGTGTGTGTGTGTGTGTGTGTGAGTGATACTGGAAAAAGCCATGAGCTCGCAAGGCTTTTCCTCACATGAGTTTTGTCCATTGTTTGTGAAACAGGAGCAATGTTAGACAAAGTGAAAGGAAGTATTGTGGCCACAGAGCGCCATCTCCGCTCTTCACAATGGGGTGGGCTTCCCACACCAGTGAGAATGGAGCCTGACCTCTTCATTCTCAGAGCTCACCAGAGTTTCCTGATTGTCCTTACAGAGAAAATGTGATGGAAGATGTCTGTAGTAAGCTGCAGGAGATGAGGAACCCGGCCCATGCCATCGGACTCATTATACGGGAAATAGATTACGAAACTGACGTGGACATGGAGACGGGCTTCAATCCAGGTAGAAACAAGGAAACAGGCGTCCCTCTCAGTGCAGTGGATGCTGGGACCCATTCAATAGCTTTCATCTCCTTCCAGCTCAGCCTTTGAATGTCCGGCTGAATCTCTCGCAGCTCTATGGCAGCAGCTCAGCAGCCTATGTTGTGTGCAGAGGTGTGCACAAGATCGCCAGCACTCGCTTCCTCATCTGCCGAGACCTCCTGATTTTTCAGCAGCTGCTGACAAGGCTGGGAGACACGGTAAGGGCCACTTGGGAGACACTCTCAACCTTGAGGCTTCACATAGCCCCGCAGTGAGGAGCAAGTTGTCAGTGCAGAGCACAGAGACTGCTTACCGCTTCATCCCACACCTGGCCTGCCTCCCTGCTGCTCAGGCACTGAGCGGATTCAGTGAGGAAGCAGCACAGCCCAGGACCGTCAGAGAAGCAGGTGTGTGGAGCAGACTGCTGGGTTAGGAGCCTTCACATGTGGTCTGATACTAGCAGCACTTCAGAAGCGATAACAAAGTACTCTATGTGGAAAAAGAACTTTTCTTTTTTTTCTTTTTTTCCCCTCCTCTTCCTATTCCACCTCCCAAGCCCTCTTTATTCAACATCTCGCAAAATTACTCAAGCTAGCCCTGAATTTGAGATCCTCCTGTCTCAGCCTCCTGAGTGTTGGGATTATAGACATGCACTACCATGACCAGCTTAGTTTTGAGATTGCAGATGTTCTGTGGCCCTCGCAGGGCCACGCTGGGCTTCCTTTTCCATGCTATTCTTCCGAGTCTACTCTTGTCATTGCACTGCCTCAACTACCTTATCTGCTGAAAGTACCTTTTGGAAAACCCTTTTCAGCTATGTTTGGTGACTCACACCTGTAATCCTGGCATTTGGGAAGCTGAGGCTAAAGATCAGTGCAAGTTGGAACCCAGCATGACACATAGCAAGACCCTGTCTTGAGGAAGAAAAAAGTTTAATTACTAAATAAATCTACCTGTCAAGTCCGTTTGTTGTCCTGCCCATTCTCTGTCCACCATGGTGCTGAGGATGAAAGTTAGGGCACCTCATCCCTTGTTTCTTTCTTTCTTTGTTTTTCGTTTGTTCATTTGTTTTCTTTGAGACAGGATCTCTCCATGTAGTCCAAGCTGACCTCAAACTCACTGTGTAACCCAGTGACTTCAAATTCATGGCAGTCCTTCTGCCTCAACCTCCTCAGTGCTGGGATTACATGTTTGCACCACTACATCCAGTCTGCACAGTTGTTTCTGAGTCAGTGATGTCATTCAGGCCCAGCAGGGATGCAACCTGATCAGACTAGTTCCTGTCCATGGGGCTCCTGGAGGTGTTTACAATCTTAAATCGGAATTTATTAGCTCTACTAGATTGCTAATCGTGGAATTCTAGGCAAAAGTAAGGAAAGCCTTTATAGGAAGATAATTAAGACTCCGAGGAGAAACAGGAACCTGCTCTGAGAATCTGGCCCTCAGGTGGCCCCAACCATGCTCTTTGCATGTCTGTAGATTGTCCCTTTTCTTTAGGATGCTTTTATTTTTAAAAATAATTTTAGCAGCTTTTGCTCTTTTTAAACACAGAAGAAAATAGATGTTCATTGTAGAACAATTATAAAATAAATTAACCAAAAACAATCAAATTCATCCATCATCTTCTACCAAATAGTAACCACTCTTTTGTGTTTTGGGATATATTTTTTTCCCCTGTGCAAATAGTCTTTTGGTTTTATTTATGAAATGAGAATATCCCCTTGGGGACAAGGCCATTTTTATTCTTGTGTTCAGCAGCCTCATCAGTAGTTTTCCCACACTGGAATAGCATGCACTGCTATTTGTAGCAGTGTCCCCAGCGGCTGTCCAGGCTGTTGCCAGTACTCCCTCGCAGCTCTGACTGCGTGCCAGGCTGAGTTCAAAGCACTGGTGCTGACTGGTGCAGGCAATGCCCTGCACACCTCTGCTGCGCTTTCCCATCATAATCAGCACCAAGGCTTAGAGGAGCCTGGCATTCCTTCCTCTGCAGCTCTAAGCCCTCGAGTGTCAGGATTGCTTGGTCACCAGCAGCCCCATGACTTGGATGAATGGTTTTGATTATTTGGGGGCTCATAACACTATTGGCATGCTTGCTGTCCCAAAATCCGATAGGCGTATTATTGCAGTGATGGTGTGATGCCCCCACTCCACGGCTAACTGTCTCGTCTGCATGCAGGGGCTGCTGGGACCTGGCCAGCTCTTCCAGGCGCAGCAGGAGGTGCTGCACCGCACGGCGCCGCTGCTGCTGTCCTATCACCTCATCAAGTGGGCCAGTCAGTGCTTGGCAACTGATGTCCCAGTCGACACACTGTGAGTTTTGCTGCTGTTGCTGTTTTTAAAATAAGTTGTGAATTGTATTATTTTTTGTTTTCTTGGGGGGAGCAGTGCTGAAGATTGAATCTGGAACCTTAAAAAAATTTTTTTTGTTTTTTGTCTTTTTGAGACAGGGTCTCTTTGTGCAGTTCAGGCTGGCCTTGAGCTCACTTTGTAGCCCAGGCTGATCTTGAACTCACAACGATCCTCCTGCCTCAGCCTCCCGAGTGCTGGGATTACAGATGTGCACTGCTACAACTGGTTTAAAAATTTTTTTTCTTTTGTTTCTTTAGTACTAGGGATTGTATTCAATACCTCATGCTTATCAGACAGCTGCTTGTGCCACTGAGCTATATCCGCAGCCTCTTTTGGTCTTTTATATGGTTTAGGCTGACCTTGAACTCCCAGTAGTCCTCATGCCTCCACCTCCTGAATGTTGAGAGTACTAAGTTTAACAGTAACTTATAAAAGCGAAAATAATAAATATGTACTTATTATTACACATATCTGAAGGCAAAATAAGACAAAGATAGACAGGAAGTTGGAGAATGCACAAAAGCATTGTGCTAGTTAATAAAGAGAGACAGAACAAGGTTATTGGTATACGCAGGTCATCTCAGCACTCAGGAGGCTGAGGCAGGAGGGTCGTCATAAGTTCCAAGGTGTCCTGGGCCACATGACAAGACCCTGTCTCAAAAACCCAAAGCCAAAACAAGGGAAAAGGTTCATTTTTTCAGAAGATGGTCCATCCATTGCTGTGGCTTTTGATTTTAGGACTGCTGAGTGATGCCATGCAACAGTCCCAGTCCTGTCATTTGCAGGTGTCTTGTTTGTGCTTTCAGTGGGGCCTTTGTGTCTCGTTTGTTCATGAAGTTGCTGGGGTTCTCGTGAGGTGGTGTGGGGAAGCTGTAGCACAGAAGGATATGTGACACTGTCTTTGCCCTTCTCTCACAGGGAGTCGAACCTGCAGCACCTATCGGTGCTGGAGCTGACTGACTCAGGGGCTGCCGTGGCCTGTCCATTTGGTAAGTCATAGACCTGCCCCTCACCCCCTCTCTGAGGCTGCAAGCAGCTCATGGCCCAGGTTCTTGCCAGGTGTCAGCTAAGGCATAAGGAAAGGGCTGTGCAAATTCAAACCCATAGCACTTTCCTGAGCTCACTTTGACCATGTTGAAGTCCATTCCCTAGCACACATGGAGAAAGCAGAAGCCCTTTTCAGAGGGCACATTAAGACCGCAGAGAGTCACTGCCATGAGAGGCTGTCCTGGCTCTTCATTCCTGTGGTTCTGTCCGTGTCCCTGTCTGTTCCTGCCTGGGCTTCTGCTTTTCCATTGCCTTCAGTTCTCCACTAATGCCTGGTATGGTGGTACACATCTATAATCTCAGTACTCCAGAGACTGAGGCAGAGAATGGCAGAGAGTTCAAGGTCAGCCTGAATTACAGAGGGAGATCCTGTCTCAGAAAACAAACAGGGCTGGGGGTTTAGCTCAGTGGTGTAAGTGCCTGCTTGGCAAACACAAAGTCATGAGTTCAATCCCCAGTACCAAAAAATTAAAAAATGCTGGGTGTGGTGACACGTCTGTAAACTCAATACTTAGGAGGCTGAGGCAGGGGGATTGCTGCAAGTTTGAGGCCAGCCTGGGCTATGTAGTGAGTTTAATATCAATCTGAACTAAAATAGAAAGACCCCGTCTCAAAAAAAAAAAAACCTTAAGTGTCCCTGGTGGCTTTGTACTAGTCACCTTAACCCAAAGAAGAAGCACCCTCTCTCACATGACAGCTGTCACTCTAGAGGGTTTACCCTTTGCTGTTCCAGTGTGCTCCTGGGACTGACTGTGCAGTAGGATTCTGCGGGAGGGTCCTCAGGTGAGATTCCAGCCTAGAGTGTCAGCTGCATTGCTCAAGGGACCTTTGCCCTGCATCTTTGTGGCAAACCACAACTGATGAGGCCATGATGCACTGTTCCGAGATTAAATTTCTTCATTACAGGCACAAAATGAATGCATAAAGTAACTTAGCTGAGTCAGTATACCATCACAAATTTGTGGTTATCTTCACTTTGTCTTTTTAAGTATCCAGCCCACAGACAGTCGTGGAGTTGTTCTTCCAAGAAGTTGCAAGGAAACACATCATTGCCCATCTCTTCTCTCAGCCAAAGGCACCACCAAGCCAGACAGCACTGAATTGGCCTGAAATGATTACTACAGTTACCAATTACTTACTGCAGCTTTTGTATCCTTTTGCGTGAAAGTAGTTGAAAGCTCTTTTCTAATAGTCAAAGACTCTTACTTTGGTTGTTAGTGACAGAAGGGGTTTTTGGTTTTGTTTTGATTGAGGGACAGGGGGGTAGTTCTGAGGCTCAAACCCAGGGCCTTACACAAGCTCAACAAGTGCTCTAGGGCAGAAACCCAGCCGGCCTTGTAACAAAGTAAGCCCTGGAATTAAGCACTTATTTGGCTGGCTTTGGCTACTCACGGTGCCAGGCATCAGACCGAGCCTCATGCATGCTAGGCACAAACTCTACCACTCTACACCTAGGCCAGAACACAGTCACTATTGGAGACGTCATTTCCTGGACAGTCATTTCCACTTCCAGCTGCTGGACTGCAGGTCCATCTTGTTGGTGCCAGCCAAAAGCCAGTGCCAAGGCCTGGTACTTGCTAGGCAGGTGTTCCACCATGGAGCTATTCCTGCCGTTTTATTGTGTTTTCTTAATAAAATACTTTATGACTTCTTTAGATTTGATATCCAGTGTGTGTATTTTAAGTTTTGCCGAGTAAGTAAAAAGCTGTCCTTATCCAGTGACTAGATGGCCCAGCAATCCTGGCTGTCTCTTTCTGGAGTGTTTGATGGGAAACTGCCAGTACGTACAGTTGCAGGTGAGCTCTGTCTAGCATTTCAGTGGTAGTCACTCTTGTGGAAAATGAGCTTGGTAGAGTACTTTTCTTTGTGAATAGTAACTGCACTTTAATTGGGCCATATATGAGAACCACAGAAATTAAACATGTAACCAAATGTGGCAATGCAGACAAGCTTCTTTCTGTTGTCTCCCTTTTTAAACCCTCCTACCCCAGCACTGAAAATTGAATGAGCCCAGGGATACTTGCCACTGAGCTACAGCCCTTTTTATTTTTTATTTTGAAATAGTTTCACTGAGTTGTCCAAACTGGCCTCAAACTTGTCATCCTCCTACCTCAGCCTCCCTAGTAGCTAGAATTGCAGACATGCAGTACTAGAACTTGCTTATACTTTCTTGATAGTGTCATCACTAACATAATTTTTTCTCAAATTTTTTTTGCTCTAGTTAGGTTTTCTTTATTGTAAAACAAATACTGTTGACTTTATATAAATCCCTTATTGGATAGTCACTGAACCTATAAATACCAAAAAATCGAAAAATTACCGAGATATAAAGCATGTTTATGTGTTCCTGAAATACTGTTTGTGTGTTTGCTGCTGCTGCTGCTGCTGTTATAGTTATTGAGAAGCCAGGGTTTCACTGTTGCTACACTGGGCTCACACTTCTGGGCTTGAGTGATCATCCTGCCTCAGCCTCCTGAGTAGCTGGGACTAGAGACTCACACCACTGTGCTGGCTGTGTTTGCTTTCTTATGGTATCTAGCCTGGCATAAGAATGTATTAAGGATGAGATTTTAATGTCTAGATGATTTTAAGAAGTAAAATGTGGTCCAGCATTTGGGAGATTGAGGCAGAAGATTGCAAGTTTGATGTCAGTCTGGGCAACTTAACAAAAACACTGTGTCAGAAAAACAAGCAGCAACTTCTGTGTTGGTCCAGCACTACCTCCTGTCCCTTGGTGGAGAGTTTGGAAACAAGTGTGTCCTCTCCTCATCAGAGCACTCTTGTGTCTTTCAGGACTACATTCACCTGCTGCACCCCTGGTGTCAGGTCAACGTTGGCTCCTGCCGCTTCATGCTGGGGCGCTGCTACCTCATCACAGGCGAGGAGCACAAGGCAAGCTGCCCCTTGGAACACCATCCTCTGCATGGGAGGACACTTCCGCTTCAGTCTGACCTGGTCTGGGCCAGAGAGGGTGGGAGGTGCTCATGTCAGGCCTGGCCATCTACTCGTGCTTGGTGGTGTAGTTAAGATGTGGGAAAAGGAGACGAGGCATTGGAAACCTTCCTGCCTCAGTACTGCCTGCCTATAACCCTTGCACTCTGGGAGGCTGAGGCAGGAGGATCATGAGTTCAAGGTTAGCTTGAGCAACTTAATAACATAGCAGAACCCTGTTTCAAAACCACAAGAACCGAAAGGAGCTGTGAGTACCTCAGAATGAAGGCCCAGCACCACCGCCATGTAGCATGCATGTGTGCAAAGCAGTAACTGAAGTTCTCTGCCTCAGTGCAGGGGTTTTTACCAGAACATTTTTGTAAATCAAATTTATTTATTAATCACATTGTTTTCACTGTGTGTATTTTTTGCACTACACAGTTTTTCTCAATGTGCTCATTTACTTTTTATTGTTCCTGTAACCACCTATTTTATAACTTTTCAAGTACACAGAAAAGTTTCCAGACTTCCACAGTAAACAGCCACATACCCCCAACCCGAGTCTGACAGCTGTTCACATGTTGCTTGAGGATGTTTCCTCCACATTTGCCCACCAGTTATCTTATTTTTTAATAGCATTTAGGGAAGAAGGAAAATTAAGATTACATATCCAAAACTAAATTGGTCAGGCAGCATAATTGTAGCAGCCTGTCCTGCACAATCACGCTTCTGTCTGGACGTTCTTCAGCCCGCCCTCTGCAAATTTGCATGGCCAGACCTAGAATAACGTGCACTGACACTCTGTCATCTCCTCCTTCAGGCTCTGCAGTGCTTCTGCCAGGCAGCATCTGAAGTGGGCAAGGAGGAATTCTTAGATCGTCTGATTCGCTCCGAGGATGGGGAGGTGGCATCCAGCCCCAGGCTGCAGTATTACGACAAGGTGGGCCCTTCCACACCTGTGCAGTAATGCAATGCAGTTGTTCCCTAAACTTACCTGAGAAGAGAAAGAGGGACTTGCCTGGAGACAGTGTGAGCTTTGAACCAGTGACAGAATTCCTAACCTGTCTGCTGGTAACATGGTTGTGTTACTTTGTGAACAGTTAGCCAGCTTTGAGTTCTGTATGTTTCATACTTAAACAAAAAGTATAACCCAGTCAGGTTTTGGGCACATACCTACATGCCTAGCACCTGAGAGGAGGATTGGAAGTTGGAGTTCCACATAAGCAATTTAGAAAGACTCTATCTCAAAATAGAAAAGGGCTGAAGGTGTAACTCAGTGCTGAAGCCTGGGGTTCAGTCCTCAGTAGTGCAGAGAAAAAAATTTTTATATGTGAGGTCACATTTATGAGAGTGTGGGCAAACATTAAGTAATACAGTCACACAAGTTCACAGATCAGTGTTCACTAAACGTAGGTTTTAGAATTTTGTGAGACTGGTGCTTATTCACTATGCTGCACATTCATCTGCAGCCTAAGTGGCTTGCAGGAAATTCATACTGTTTGTTTATCTCTTACGTGAAATGAACACCATTTCCTGTGCACATACCCTGAAGGTAATTTCATGAGTAACTTTGGTTTGCCTGTGCTTGGGCTTCCTTCTCTCACATGAAGAAAAGAGTAGGATTTTATGGTAGCATATCAAACCGGGTGTGATGGTATATGCCTATAATCCCAGCACTTGGGAGGCTAAGGCAGGAGGATTGCTATAAGATCAGGGCCAGCCTGGGTTACATAGTGAGACCCTGTCTCAAAAAACAAAACAGAGGGCTGGGGATTTAGCTCAGCGACCTAAGTGCCTGCCTTGCAAGCAGGCAGTCGTGAGTTTGATCCCTGATACCGATTTTAAAAAAAACAGAGGGGCTGGGAATTTAGCTCCATGCGGTAAGCTCCTGCCTTGCAAGTGGGCGGTTGTGAGTTCAATCCCCGGGGCCAATTTAAAAAAACAGAGCCAGGGACGAAACTCAATGGCACAGCACCTGCCTGGCAAGCCCAAGGTTCTGAGTTCAATTCCCAGTACTAGGATAAAAGCTGGTCAGCAGTAGCACTTGTAAATGACCTACAGAGTGTGTTAGTTTTATCCCTTCCCTTCATCTGTCTGTTCACCTAACACTAATACAGCTGCTCTAAGTTTACCTGCAAGTGGAGTCATTCCATTGTGTTTGGAAAAACAAATGGGTTTTACAACAAGCCCACGTGTGACAGTGGAACATAAAGGCACATTTTCATGTTGACCCCAAGTGACCCTGTGCCTCTTGGCAGCACATCTTTCAGCTCTGGGGGGCTGGGCACCAACCCTAGCCTCATGCAGTGGCAGCCGCAGAGCCGCACCCCAACCCCTTTGCGCATCTTTGGCTTCATCGTTACCTTACTTGATCCTTCTGCTTAATCCAGAAACACTTCAGTATGGAGGGCCCCTGCTCTGTGACTTTTAATGATGTTTACTCCATGTCTACTCAGGTGTTACGTCTGCTTGATGTTGTGGGGCTCCCTGAGCTGGTTATTCAGCTGGCTACAGTAGCAATAACAGAAGCAGGTGACGACTGGAAAGGTCAGGTAAGAGCACACTGCAGATCTTGTGCGGTGCAATTCTCTACGGAGGTGTTATGTTCATTTCTGCGCCCCTCGCTCTCTAGGCCACTTTAAGGACGTGCATCTTCAAACATCACTTGGACCTGGGCCACAACAGCCAGGCGTACGAGGCCCTCACTCAGATTCCCGACTCCAGCAGGTAGCTTCACTGGCCTTTGGGGAACACCATGTGCCAGCCCCACCTGTGCCTCTGCAGCAGTGCCCTCTGTCCCTCTCACCCTCCAGGCAGTTAGATTGCTTACGACAGCTGGTGGTCGTCCTTTGTGAGCGCTCGCAGCTGCAGGACCTGGTGGAGTTTCCTTATGTGAACCTGCATAATGAGGTAGGTGCAGGGTAGCCACGGCAGCCAGAGACACCTCTGTGCTGCCAGCCCTACGCTAACTTCAGTGTCCTGTGGCTTCCCCTCCGCCAGGTCGTGGGTATCATTGAATCACGTGCCAGGGCCGTGGACCTCACAACTCACAATTATTATGAGCTGCTCTATGCCTTCCATATCCACCGCCATAATTTCCGCAAAGGTGAGCTGAAGCCAGGCATGGGCGCTGAGGCCTCTTTACTAATGAAATCGTAGTTTACAAAAATACTGTGTATTCAAGCTGGGCGTGGTAGTGCACACTTATACTCCCAGCACTCAGGAAGCCAAGGCAGGAAGATCCCTATGAATTCGAGGCCAGCCTGGACTACATGGGACCTTGTCTCAAGAAAAAAAAACAATGAAAATACTGTGCATTCACTTATGTGTACGTAGAATATTAACTTACTGTCACCCTTTTGAAGAGCATATATTAGTTTTGAAAATATATACTTCCTCCTGTTCTGGAACATTCCCAGTCATTTCTGGTGAGGTGATACCATACACAGTTTTTGTCTGCTGCCAAAGGAAACCTTAGATCTTTTACTAGCGGGACCTCAAACTCTCACAACTAGTAGTAATTTCCTGTGTTGTTTTGCTCTTGGCCACCTTCCACCCCATATTTCAGTTCCTGGAACAAATTTACTCTTCCTTCTGTTTTGCTCAACTGAATATCATCATATTCCTTGGTGATGGTGTATGTGTTTTCATTCCCTTGATTTCATGGAAAAGCCTTAAAGAGGGGAGTAAATCTGATTTTTTAAAGTTACCAAATGATAATCCCATGTCCTAGTGAATTTCTTTGCAAGCTTTTGGGAGTTTTTTTAGTTTTGTTTTTGTTTTTGTTTTTTGGTGCTGGGGATAGACCTTGGGCCTCCTACATGCTGAGCACAAGCTCTCCTGCTGAGCTATACCACCAGCATCAAATCTTTTTTTTTTTTTTCCTTGTACTGAGAATCAAACACGTGACCTTGCGCTTGCTGGGCAGGCACTGTGCTGCTGAGCTACATCCCCAGTCATGCCTCAGAAAAGCTAAAACATTTGTACAAAGAACACCTGTATTATACCCCTCCCCCACATTCATGAGTTGTTGGCATTTTGCCGGTCAATTCATGTCCATCTCTTCCTCCCTTCCTCCCTGCTCACCTTTCTAGAATAAGTTATGCTACTATTACACTCACTGAACGAGGTAAGCAGGATCTCAAACACTTAGAGCAGGAGAGAAGGGTGTCTCTTTATTTGCCTGCATCTCCATAGGGGACTTGTGTCCTCCTGAGAGCCCTGAGCAAGTCTTTGCTCTTACTTTTATGCTGTGTCCACAGGAAATCTCTCGCCTAGCAACACAAAGTGGAATGATGACAGAAGCAGCAGAGCAGTGGTTGGGGGAGTGGGACCTGGGCAGGGCTTCTCACGGCTGTCATGCTCCGCTCCCACGATGCTGTAGCTGCACCCGTACACAGCCCTGGCTGTAACCCCTGGCTTTCTTGGAGCTCAGCGGTACAGCTCACCCAGAGCTGTCCAGTGCCACCTTGGGGTGGTTTCCTCTCTTGTTACCATTTAACTGTTTCATGTGTCTCTCAGTGTGCTCTTATGGAGCTGTGATATAATTTATCAGCTTAAGGGAATGTGCATAATTAATTTAGTATTAAGATTTATGAAATGCTGTCACATTATGTGCTGTTTGTATTCAGGTTATAATAATAATTGTAAGAATTACATTGCTTGTTTTGAGACAGGGTCTTGCCATGTAGTCGAGACTCATCTTTATTGGGTTCCTGGAATAGAACTCTAGGCTGGTTTTCTTTTTTCCTTTTCTTTTCTTTTCTTTTCTTTTTTTTTTTTTTTTTTTTTGTAACAGAGGTTATACTCACAAACTCATGCTTGTCAGATAAGTACTTGTGCCACTGAGCTATGTCCCCAGCCCCTCCAGACTGGTAACTCAGGCTGGCCTTGAACTTGCTGTCTTCTGCCTGAGCCTCCAGAATGCTGGGATTACACTGCTCCTGGCCATGTTTTTCATAGCACATTCCTCTCCTATAGTCCTCACCTCCTGATCCAGGATCATACATTGATTTGGTTATTTCTCTTTAGACTGTTTTAATCTGGAGCATTTCTTTTAGCTTTACTTTGCCTTTGGTCCTTTTGAAGAGGATGCGCTAATCATTTTGGGAGGTGAATCGTAATTTGTACTTGCATGATGACAGGGCAGGTCCATATCAGAACAGTTCAACTCAAAGGAACCCTGTTCCTCTGAAGATTGTATTTCACAAGGTAAACTTTGGTTTTGTTTTTTGGCTCTGTTCGGATTGAACCCAGGGCATTCACATTGAGTTACACACCTAGCCCGTTTTTTATTTTTCTTTTGGAGACAGGATCTCACTAAGGTACTCAGGTTAGGCTCAATTTGTGATCTTCCCACCTCAGCTCCTGGAGACAAGGCTGCATCACCATGCCTGGTAATGTTAAGGTCTTTAGAAGCCAGCCTGTGCATCTAACCAGTGTCTTACATATTTCAGATGCTCAAAACATAATTTGTTGAGAAAAAAAATACTAGTATTTTTTGTGAGAAACAGTTTTTTTGTTTGCTTCACTTGAAAACTGTTTTTCCTCATTTTTATTTTGTCACTGTGGATTGAACCCATAACCCTCACACTGTGATCCCCAGCCCATTTTATTTATTTTGAGACAGTTTAATCTCATTAAATTCCAGGTGGAATTTGAATTTGAGATCTTCCTGCCTCAATTCTCTCAGCTTGAAAGAGTTTTTTTTTTTTTTTTGAAAGAGTTTTTAAATGCTGTTTAATTTAGTGCCTCACATTGTCCTAAAACCATGGATTTTTCCATGAATTCCATCCAACCATTGTAGCTAAAGTTTTATAAAAGTAAGGTGAACCAAGCATGGTAGCTCATGTTCTATAATCATAGCACTCTAGGAGACTGAGGCAGGAGAATCACAAATGTAAGCCCCTGCTGGACAGTTTTTTTTTTTTTTTTTGGTCTTTTTCATTTTTTTATCGGTACCAGGGATCGAATTCACAACTGCCTGCTTGCAAGGCAGGCACTTATGCCGCTGAGCTAAATCCCCAGCTCCCTGGACAGTTTAATGATTTAATGAGGCTCTGGCTCAAAACTAAAAGGTAAAAGGGGCTGGGCCTAGGTTGTGGTACACACCTGTGATCCCGGCACTCAGGAAGCTGAGGCACAAGGACCCACCAAGAGTTCAAGACCAGCCTGAGCTCCATAGAGTCTAAGGCCAGCCTGAACTACATAGCAAGACCCTGTCTCAAAAAAGAAAAGTAAGAAAAATGGGCTAGGGTGTAGCTTACGTTTAATCCCTAGTACTGCACAGTAAATGTGTCCCTGCCCTCAGTTCTTTCGGCTAACAAACACCACAAAGCAGAAATGCTGCATCATGTGATGATTCTGTTTAATGTTAAGGAAGGGCCATGTTGTTTTCCTCTGCTCCTGCACCCTTTCACATTCTTCGTAACAGTTCACAGAGTTCTGGTGTCCCTACACCATCACCAACACATGATCTTTCCATTGTGTTTTAGGACCAGGTCTTCCTGAGTTTCTGAATTTTCCAGGGTATGCTCAAACTTGGAATCATCCTGCCTCAGCTTCCCAGAATGCTGGCGTATACTACCACACGCAGATCCAACATGATTGCTTCTTTATAGCTCTGCGTAAATTCAGCTTAGTTTTACATTTAACAAAATCTGTCTCTGAGGAGATGCACTGTGTAAATTCTTGGTTTCTGCCTCACAGCTGGCACGGTGATGTTCGAGTACGGAACCCGACTGGGCAGAGAGGTCCGTACCCTCCGGGGGCTTGAGAAGCAAGGCAGCTGCTACCTGGCCGCCATAAACTGCCTGCGCCTCATCCGCCCCGAGTATGCATGGATCGTGCAGCCCGCGGCTGGTGCCGTGGTATGGAAGCTTCTTACTGGGTATTGGAGTTTGGGGGTCACTTCATCTCTTTGGGTTTCCTTCGTTTTGCTTCATTTCATTTCTAAATTTCTACTTAAGTGTTCAGGAACAACTTCTTTCTTTACAGCAGTCCATCTATTACAGTTCACTATCCGCCTGACTCCCAAGTTCAGAGTTGTGGTAGAAGTCCTGGCAGTGCTTTCAGGGTTACTGAGACTGACAAGTCCCCAAGTCTCTGCAGGTCAGGTATCCTCTGGTGTGCAGTAGGATGGATAGCATCACCCTTCCAGAAGATTATCTGGGACTGGAAGAAGTTAATATGAGTACATTGCCAATGAGTTTAAAGTCAACCTGAACTACATTGTGACACCCTGTCTCAAAACAAAAAAGAATAATGGTGTTATCTGGCCTAAACTACTTAATCAATACTGGTGACTTTTTTTTTGTTTTTTGGTTTTTTGGTTTTTTTTTTTTTTGGTTCAAAGGATCAAACTTCCAACCTCAGCCTCATGCTTACCAGGCAGGCACGTGCAGGCACGTGAGCTGTTGAGCTAAACCCTTGGCTTAATGCTGGCTACTTTTATTTTGATCATATTAATTCAGTTACTGTGTTAAAGGACCACTTGAGTTTTCTCTGTCATGGCCACCTGTGCCAGGTTCCTGAGGTTGTGATGTTCCTTCATTTGCTCCACAGTTACCCAGGTTACTATTGAGGGCTAGTACTGTGTAACAAAGGAAAACAACATGGGCAACCAGAGGGCAAATCCAGGGCCTTGGACTGAGTAGCATTAAATAGCTAAGTTGGCAAACAACTCCACCTCTCTGATAGTTCCAGTACCTCTAAGAATTAATTAGCTGCCTAAAATAAAAACTAGGCATGGTGGCACACTCCAGTAATTCCAACACTCTGGGAAGATCAGAACTTTGAATCCAGCCTGGGCAACTCAGGGACTTAGTGAGACACTGTTTCAGGATAAGAAAGGATCTGGGAATGTGGTTCACTACATCAGCCCTGCATTTAATCCCCAGACTGCAAAAAAAAAAAAGTTTCTATTGAGAGAACTTATATAGGAAAGCTTCAATTCACAGTAATATCAAAATAAAAACACTAATTTTCACAGGTACATCCGTTTTTTGTGTTCTCAGTATGATCGTCCTGGAACGTCCCCCAAAAGGAATCATGATGGAGAATGCATGGCTGCCCCGGGTGAGTCAGGGTCTCACACTGATCTGGCAGGGGACTACTTGTATTGTTATATTGGAGGAGACCTAGAAGAAGACGTGTATCTACATTACAGTGCTTATATCACAGTTACAACTTTGTCATGTTGTTGTATCATACATGGTGCAGTTGTTTTAAAATGCATTAGAATTCCTTGTTTAGGGCTGGGGATTTAGCTCAGTGGCATAAGTGCCTGCCTTGCAAGCAGGCAGTCAGGAGTTCGATCCCCAGTACCGAAAAAAAGACAAAAAAAAAAAGAATTCCTTGTTTATTTACAACATTCTAATCTGCTAAAAGTTGTCTAGAAACTCTTTGAAAATGCTGCATGGTGATGAGAAATGGAAATGCTTACACAGGAAAGAGGAGTATGTTTTGTTACCTGTTGCATTTGAATCAATGGGGTGACAAACCTCTTATCATAGGGTCCTTCATACTAGAAGACAGTTATTTTCTCATTGCTGAGACAAAGTACCCAACAACCTCAAGTTAAAGGAGAGGTTTATTTGGCTTATACTTTGTGGAGGTTTCGTACATAGGTGACTGGCTCCAAGGCAGGATGGCACAGCAGAGGGGTCTGACAGAGGAGAAACAGTCCATGGCAGGGCAGGCAGGAGGCAGACTTTCTCCTGCTCTCCCATTTTATTCCATCCAGGCTACAAGCCTATGGTTGGTGGCACCCACACCCAGGTTGGAGCATTGCTCTTCAGTCTCCATCATCCACACCAGAACTGTGCTAAACCAGTCAATGAGCTGGTCTAGTACTGCAGCCCGTGATCCAGGCACACCCAAAGCCCTGCCGTGTCCCCAGAGCAGTGATGCTCAGGGGAAGGGACAACTTGGGCTGAACTGGGACATTGGCCCTGAGCCCAGGCATTCGTCTCCCCACTTGGCTCCTAGGTGCACGGCAGGTGGAAATCCTGGAGCTAGCTGACCTGGAGAAGGAATGCGCACTGGCCCATGTTCGCCTCGTGCTGGCCCGCCACGACCCAGCAGCCGTTGCTGTGGCAGGTAGGAACCCGCTTGGTCGGCATGGTACTGAGTCCTTGGCCACAGGCTTCTCCCCAGCAGAGCCTGCCTGTGTCCCTGCACCACACACTGATCCCCTTTCCCACCTGTGCCCGTGCAGGAAGCTCGTCAGCGGAGGAGATGGTCACTCTTCTGGTGCAGGCCGGCCTCTTCGACACTGCCCTCACGCTCTGCCAGACCTTCAAGCTGCCCCTGACACCAGTCTTTGAGGGCCTTGCTTTCAAGTACATACAGCGAGTTTTCCCCAGGCTTCCCCACATCCCCAAGATGTCCCTTTGTTGTTTCATGTGAGGGCCTGCAAGCCACACTCTGCTCAGTGCAGGCAGTGATCTCGTGTGGCACGAGAAGGCAGAGCGGATGCTTGACAGTGGACTCAGCTGGTGCCTCAACGCTGCAGTTGCCCTCACATCCCTCTAGTGCTGGTAGCAGAGTACTCAGGGTCTGGCGGGAGCTCATGGCACCCTCTCCTCCCCAGGTGCATCCGGCTGCAGCTGGGCGGGGAGAACGCGCAGGCTGAAGCCTGGGCCTGGCTTGCAGCCAACCAGCTGTCCTCTGTGGTCACCACCAAGGAGTCTAGGTACAGCACCATGTCTTGGAGCACAGCTCGCTTCCTCTAAGTCCATTGCTCTGCGCACACAGCGTTGCTTTTCTCTCTTCCCTCTTTGGCTGAGTTTTAATAGAAGCAGGAGACTTTACAGTTAGGTTCACATTGTGATGTTATTGTTCAGTGTAGGCTGTCTTTGCCTGTGAAATGTCTCCTCCACACCCACTTTCTCAAAACTTCATATACTATGGAATCAGGAAGAAGTGCTCTTACCCCAGCACTTGAGTGGCTGAGGCATGAGAATCACAAGTTCGAGTCCCACCCAGGTAATTTAGCGGCAACAGGCTACCTCAAAATAAAAAAAACGAGGATTGTGGAAAAGTCACCCCTAGCTCTATTCCGAGTACTACAAAGTCAGAAAGGGAAAGGTACTCTTGGTTGGCTGTAGAGGCCCATGGCAATAGTCCCAACTACTCTGAGGCTGAGGTGGGAGGGTCCCTTGAGCTCACAAGCTCAAGACCAACCTGGGCAGCCAGGTGTGGTGGTACACACTGAGAGTCTCGGCACTCGGGAGCCTGAGGCAGCCTGGGCTACATGTGGCAAAGTCAGCCAGTACTGCATAGTGAGATCATCTCTGAAAAAACCAAAACAAATAAATATAGCTTACAATACTAACACCCTGCTCTTCAGAGTGAGAGCTCCTGCAGCTTCAGGGACTAGCAGCGTTAGCCACTTTCTTTTAGTTTTTTTCTTTCTTTCTTTTTTTTTAAAAGAAATCATGAAACAAATTAAACATTATATAGTGACTCAGTTGATTATTGGGGGAAAGCTGGAGGAATCCACATCCTCTGATTTGTACCGCCATCCCACAAGTCACTCTGTCCTACTAACATGAGTTACCGCTGAGCCGTTAGTGGATCATTTGATTTTTCCTGGGCTGGGATGGAGTTCCGTGATAAGGCCCTGGGTTCCACCCAGGTACCCCAGGGGAAAATTGAAATGCATTTGTCTTGTTCGCTTTTCCTCAAGCGCTACAGATGAAGCATGGCGACTGCTGTCCACTTACCTAGAAAGGTACAAGGTGCAGAATAACTTGTACCACCAGTGTGTGATCAACAAGCTCTTGTCACACGGCGTGCCTCTGCCTAACTGGCTCATCAACAGTTACAAGGTATGTGATGTCTTAGCCTGGAGAGGTTAAGAACCTACCTATTATCATTCTAAATGACTCAGGGAAACCAGGCACAGTGTTATCTGCCTGTAATCCCAGTGCTCTGGGAGGCTGAAGCAGGAGGAGCACAAGTTGGGCCCAGCACCTTAGTGAGATCCTGCCTCAAAATTTAAATAAAGCAAAACAAATGGGTTAGGGGATCTGGGGATACAGCTCCGTGCAAATGCCTTGGGTTCAATTCCGAGTATCACCAGATATAAGTAAGTAATTTAATGAGGTAATTAACAACTAAAAGAAGGGGTGATAATTTTTTATGGGAACTCTGGGCAGCTTGTCAGTCACAGCTGAAATCACTAAAAATAATTTAATTTATACACTTGCGTGGGTAAAGTTCCACAGGTTGGAACTGGATGACTACCTGCTTGTGTGCTCACTGAATGACGAGCTTATGTCTAGAATAACTAGTGTGCCCTGACTGCGCTTCTGACAGAAAGTCGATGCTGCAGAGCTGCTGCGTCTCTACCTGAAGTATGACCTGTTGGAAGAGGCTGTGGATCTGGTCTCAGAATATGTGGACGCTGTGCTTGGAAAAGGACACCAGTACTTCGGCATCGAGGTGGGCACACAGCAGCGTTCTCTGACCTCTGTATCCCCATGTACAGGAGCCGGAGGTGGGAAAGTAAACTGAATGTGTACTGTTAGATTCAAGCGTTGCCTGTTATCAGACAGCTAAATGTTAGCACTGCAGGAATCTAGACAAAGTGGAAATACATTTCATTTTTCTCCATCAAACAGCGTGACTTTGAACCAGGCAGGGTGGTACATGCCTTTAATCTAGCACTTGGGAGGCTGAGGCAGGAGGATCACTGTTAGTTTGAGATCAGCCTGAGTTATATAGTGACACCTTATCTCAAAATAAATAAATGGGATGAATGACGGAACAAACGACATAGCTGTGTGTGGGTGACACATACTATAATCCGAGCATGCTGGGAGCCTAAGGCAGGAGGGTTGCATGTTTGAGTCTTCTAGACAACTAAGCAATAAAAGGTTTTGAGACCAGCCTGGGGTACAAAATGAGCTTAAGGCCATCCTGAACTTCATAGTGAGACGTTGTCTCAGAAAGGAAAAAAAAGGACTAAATAAAACCTCTGGAGACATGGGTCAGGGCAGAAGCCCTACATTCAGTTCCCAGTACAGACCAGCTGATGGGTGGATTAGGTAAGATAGATTTGGTAGATTGATTTTACTGAGCAGAGCACAAGCTTCCCAGTTGGGCTTTGTGTGAATGTGTGTGCAGGTGTACACACACACACACAAAGTCTTTACTGTGGAGAGGGGCTCACCATGGTAGTATGCGCCTAAGCCCTGTAATCCCAGCACTGAAAGAGGCAGGAGCATCACAAGTTCAAGTCCTGCTGGGCAGCTTAGCAAGACCCTGTCTCAAAATACAAAGGGCCAGGGATATAGATCAGCAGTCAGGCTGTCCTGGGGTTTCATCCACAGTATCACATTTACGTTAGAGTTCTATGCAGATGGCTCCCCAGCAGAATGCCCGTGCCCCGAGTTCCTCTGAACACCAGATGCTTCTCTTGCAGTTTCCTCTGTCTGCGACAGCCCCGATGGTGTGGCTCCCCTACTCCTCCATCGACCAGCTGCTCCAGGCATTGGGGGAGAACACTGCCAACAGCCACAACATCGCGGTGAGTACGCCTCTGCTGCCCCTTTCTCCTCCTCGGGCTCTAAGACCAGTGGTTGGCAGCCACTTTGCCCGGGCACCTGATGTGAGTCTGATGCCCCAGTACCTGCTTATATCACGTGTGGAGCAAGCCCAGGATACGTTCACAGGGTCCACAAAATCTCCAAGAAGTGGGGACCATGACCCAGCCCTCAACTGCCCAATGCCTACAGAGGGAGGACCCATGTTGCCTTCCTACCGGCTTTTAGACACCTCCCCTAATAGTTGGTCTGGGCTGGGTGGGTGTGGTGGTGCAGGGCTATCCTCTCCACAGTCCAGGCTGAGGCAGGATGATCACTGAGCTTGAAACCAGCCTGAACTGCATAGTGAGACTCTGTCTCAAAAAAAAACAAACACTGGGGCTGGGGATTTAGCTCAGCGGCATAAGCACCTGCCTTGCAAGCAGGCAGTCGTAAGTTCGATCCCCGGTAACGATAAAAATGAAAAAGAAAAAAAATAAATAAAATAAAACAAACAAACAAACATTGAGGGACTACGAGTTTATTTAGCTCAGCGGCACAAGTACCTGGCAAGCATGAGGTCATGAATTCAATCCCTGGTACAAAAAAAAAGAGAGAGAGAGATTGAGAGTGTAAGCTTTTTGTATGCTTTTTTTTTTTTCTTTTTGTGGTGCCAGGGATGGAATCCAGGCACCACAAAAATCCTCACATTTGCTAGGCAAATGCTATATAACTGAGTTCTAACACCAGGCCTATTTCTCCTCTTAAGCTATTTTTTCTTTCTTTTTTTTTTAAACACCAAGTACATTTATTAGAAAAGAAGAAAGTTATGAAATATCCTATATCCTATCTTTCCTTAAGAAATTAGAAGTAAAAGACAGAATAAAGCCAAAAAAATAGAAAATAATAAAGATCAGAAAACACAATCCCTTATCAAAATGCCAACATCATTTTTCATAAAAATTGACATTTTGATTCTTACATTTCTGTAGAAATACAAAAGACTTAAGAATAGTCTAAACAACTTTGATAAAGGAACAAAATTAGAGCTCCAACCCTCCCCAATCCCACGACTTATCACAGAGTGACACCAATCATGACAAAATGGCATTGATAGCAAGATAGACAAACCACCAAGGTATCAGTATGAAGTCCCAAAGTTGAAGCTGTTTTTCAAAGTGTTGTATGGTGGCGCATGCCTGTATCCCAATACCAAGAGGCTGAGGCAAGAGGATCACAAGTTTGAGCCTGGTCTTGGTGACTCAGTGACTTAGGGAGACCCCATCTCTAAATGAAAAAGAGCTAGGAGGTTAGGTCAGTGTGAAGGCATGGGTTCCATCCCCACTGCCAGGGGTGTGTGTGATATACATATTTTGAAGATGAATTAGGAAAGAAAAGCAGGATTAAAGACACTGACAGAGAAGTCCAGCACTACGAGTAGATTATAGTCAGCGTGGAGGTGACATCTTGGTTTGGTGCTGTCTGGGGGGAAAGTCAGGTGACAAACAGTACCAGTCTCTCTTCAGTCCCTGAGCTGGTCTGTAATGAGTCCCTTTGTTTCCCTACAGCTGTCTCAGAAAATCCTTGACAAGCTAGAGGACTACCAGCAAAAAGTTGATAAGGCAACACGGGACCTGCTCTTCCGGCTGAACTTGTGATCTCGGTGTCCCGGGTGTGGTGCTCGAGGGCCACCCTGCAAGGGACTTGGTGGTCGGCAAGGCCCTGGCGGGAAGTGGGCCCTGGGCTCACTGCAGGTGCTAACACCATTCTGGCCTCCACCTCATTCTCACACAGCTGCTTCTGGATTCTACACGAGTCACAGCTTTTTTAGAGTTTATATTTTTTTAAACTACCGAAGATGTTGTTTATTTGCAAACGAAACCCTGCCTCACTTTGGAGCAGCCTGCAGTGTGGATTTCTTGTTGATGAGTGACACCAAGAGCAATCACTGTGGACCCTACCCTTCCCGATGTTTTCTATACCGATGGGATTATTTTGGTCCAGAACTGACATGTATTTTCTGTACGGCAAACAGAGACTAATGACTTTGTGTACTCTTTTCCTTATTTATTGTGAAGTTTTTATATGGTCTTCAATAAAGTACAAATTTGCCTAGAATAAATAATGACCTGTTTAAAGAAGAATTATATTTTGAATCAGGCTCTGAAGTGAAAGTTAAGAAAACTTTTAGCTAAGGACAAATTAAAAACCCTTCTACAAAATCAACAGACTCAAAGTGAATTCTGTCAATTTTTAAGATTTATAATAATCAAGCCGGACTTGATCAGACTGTCTAAAAATGTTAAAATACTGAACCAAAGTATATAAATTTTACTGGATAGATTCAGTAAACAAATTTTGAGGAAAGTAAAAAAATAATCTTGGATTTTATTCTGTATATTAAAATCTGTCTTTCAGGAAATGGTCTGTATACTACTTGTGTGAATGCTCTTGGACTTCTCTTGAGTTTTGCATTACCATTTAATTTTTATACTTCAATACCATGTTTACATTGTATACTTTTGTTTTTGAGACAAGGTCTCACTATGTAACACAGGCAGGCCTGAAACTCCTAGCAGTCCTCCTGTCTCAGTCTCCTGAGTGCTGGGAAGGAGGTATGTACCACCATCTGGTAATATCACGGTCCTCAAAAAATTCAGTAAATATCAGGCATGGTGGTATATGCCTGTAATCCCTGCACTCGAGATGGATGCAGTAGAATCTGGAAGAGTCTTGATTCTAGCTGAGCTGCATAGTAGATTTTGTCTCAAAAAAAAATAAGACTGAAGGGAGCAGACACCACAGAAAGTTTATTTCCTGGTTAGCAATGACACCCTGGGACCGCCTCATCCTGCAGCTCACATCCCTGCTTGGTAGTTGGCCTGGATCGTGGTCTCAAGATCACTGAACAGCCGTGAGCCGCTGACCTTCATGTTGGTGCCGTGGACATCAGCATGAGCGACTCCATTTTGGTTTGTTTGCCAGGCCAGTGTAGGGCCTCTGCCCAAACCAGTGGTCTCCATAGAAGTTTCCAGTTCTGGAGATTGAACCTCATAAGTCTTAAGACCTATGCTGTATTTAATTCAAAAAGAAATTCGTAGATTGCAAATCAAATAAAAAATGCTCCACATGACAAGAACCCAAAATAAAGCAGGAATAATTATTCTATTTGCAGAAAAAATGGATTTCAAGCCAGCACTGATTAAGAGTGACAAAGAAAGGGGCTGGGGATTTAGCTCAGCGGTATAAGCACCTGCCTTGCAAGCAGGCGGTCATGAGTTCGATCCTTGGTACCGATAAAAAGGAAAAAGACCAAGAAAAAAAAAAAGTGACAAAGAAGGTCACTACATCCTGGTAAAGGGAACAATCCAAAAGGAAGAGATAACAATCATATGCAAATACTAACAGACATAATAATTACTAATACAGTTGTAATGGGAGATCTGAATACCTCCCTGTCACAAATAGACAAAAAATCCACAATGAAATATTAGTCATGAACCAAACTTTTGAACAAATGGACTTAGTAGTAGATGTCTACAGAGTGTTCCTCTCCACAACACCAGAATACACAGAGTCCTCAGCTGCAGATGGGACATTCTCCAAAAGAGACCAACTATTGACTCATAGAACATGCTTAAGTAAATGCAAAGGAGTTGAAATTATCCCATGCATATTGTGAGACCATAGTGCAACGAAATTAGAAATCAATGGCAAAAGGAACCACAAGAACAGATCCATAGAAATTAAACATCCTCCCGAACAACTCACGGGTCACAGATGAAATTAAGAAATTAGAAAACTTTACAGTGGGGCTGGGGGTTTAGCTCAGCGACATAAGCGCCTGCCTTGCAAGCAGGCAGTCGTGAGTTCGATCCCCGGTACCGATAAAAAGGAAAAAGACAAAAAAAAAAAAAAAAAAGAAAATTTTACAGTTCATCAGGGGCTGGGGATTTAGCTCAGCGGCATAAGTGCCTGCCTTGCAAGCAGGCAGTCGTGAGTTTGATCCCTGGTACCGATAAAAAAAAAAAGACAAAAAAAAATTTTTTTTACAGTTTATCAATAATGACAATACAACATACAGGAACCTATAGGACACAATGAAAGCAGTCCCAAAAGGGAGATGTATAGTGGTGAATTCCCATATCAGGAAGGCAGAACAAGCTCAAGTAACCTAATGTTTAATCTTAGGTTCTACAAAAAGAAGAGCAAGTCAAGCCCAGCATCCCTAACAGAAAATTAAGATCAGAGCAGAAACTAATGCAATGGGGACTAGGACAGCAATACAAAAAAAAAAAAAATCAGTGAATCAAAAAGTTGGTTCTTTGAAAGATTAAAATTGACAAACCCTTAGCCAACCTTATCAAAAAAGGAAAGAAAGGGGCTGGGGATTTAGCTCAGTGGCATAAGCACCTGCCTTGCAAGCAGGCAGTCGTGAGTTAGATCCCTGGTACCGATAAAAACAAAAAAGACCAAAAAAAAAGGAAAGAAAAAGACTCAAATTCATCCAATTAGGAATGGAAAGGGCAAAATCATGATAGGTCCTGCAGAAACCCAGAAGATCATCTATACAATGATGAAAACTTGTATTCTTTTTTTTCATGTATTTTTATTTTATTTACTTTTTTGTTTTTCAAGTCCAATTTATTTCACAGAGAAAGAAAACCAAAACAATTTGAAAACATCAGGGAAAATGCAGAAGAAATGGACAGATATCTAGATATACATGAACTACCAAAGCTGTATCAAGATGATATAAAAACTAAACCAGTATCAGTCAATGAAATGAAGATGTAATTAAAAACCTGTCAACAAAGAAAAGGCCAAAAAATAAAAGACAAAAAAAAAAGAAAGAAAGAAAAGGCCAGCCCCTGAAAGATTCGCTGCTGAATCCTGCAAGAAATTTAGGGATTATGTAATCTCACTCTTTAATGAAACTGAAAGGAAACAAATACTCCCAAATTGATTCCTGGAAGCAAACATTACCCTGATAGCAAAACCAGAGAGAAGTACAAGAAAACTGCAGGCCAATCTCCTAATGAACATAGATTCAAAAATCCTCAGTAAGATACAGCAGCAAGTCATCAAGATTATACACCATGGAGCCTGGGTAGCTCAGCGGCATAAGTACCTGCTTAGCAAACACGAAGTCATGAGTTCAATTCCCAGTCCCCCACCCCACCCCGCCAAAAAAGATTATACACCATGACCAAGTAGAGTGCACTCCAGGGAGGCAGGGCTGGTTCAACATACACAGTGTAATACACCATATTAACAGTGCCAAGAACAAAATCCATATGATCATCTCAATAGATGCAGAAGTTTCTGATGAGGTCCAGCACTCCCTCATGATAAAAATCATAACAAGGGGCTGGGGATTTAGTTCAGCAGCATAAGTGCCTGCCTTGCAAGTGTGCGATTGTGAGTTCGATCTCTGGTACCGATAAAAACGAAAAAGACAAAAAAAAAAAATTGGGATGGATGGTCTCTTATCTCAATCTGATAAAAAGGCATCTATGACAAACCAACAGCCAACATCATACTTAAAAGGGCAAAAACTGAAAGCTTTCACCCTAAAATCAGGAACAATACAAGAATATCCACTGTTTCTACTTTTATTAAATATAGTTCTGGAAACATTAGAGCAATTAGACAAGAGAAAGAAAAGAGTAAAGATTGGAAAGGAAGAAGTCAAATTATTATTTGCAGATGACATCACAGAAGACCTCAAAAACTCCACCAAAAGACTTGTAAATTTAATAAGCAAATTCCCTAAGATAACTGGATACAAAGTTAACACTTAAAATCAATAGCATTCCTGTACATAAATAGCAAATGCATTGAAAGAGAAATTAGGGAAACACCTTTCACAATAGCATCCAAAAAAATGAAATACCTAGGAATCAGTCTAATGAAGGAAGTAAAAGACTTATACATTGAAAACTACAGGACTCTGAGAAAGGAGATTGGAGAGGATATCAGAAAATGGAAAGATGGGCCTGGGGATTTAGCTCAGCGGCATAAGCACCTGCCTTGCAAGCAGGCAGTCATGAGTTCGATCCCTGGTACCAATAAAAAAAGGAAAAAGACAAAAAAAAAAAAAATGGAAAGATGTTCTTTGTGCTTGGGTAGGAAGAATCAATATAGTGAAAATGGCCATACTTTGAAAATTGCTATACAAATTTAGTGCAATTCTGACCAAAATTCCAATAGCATTTCTCACAGAATTAGAGAAAACATTCCTGAAATTTATTTGCAACCAGAAGAGACCTAGAATAGCAAAGGCAGTTCTGGGCAGCAAAGGCAAAGCAGGGGCATCACAATCCTTGGCTTGAAATTATACAACAAACCACACTTATAAAAACAGCATGATACTAACAAAAACAAAAATTTAAAAAAAAATCTGAAGATCACTGGAACAGATTAGAACATATAGAAACAATTCTAGACACACAACCACCTTATCTTTGACAAAAATGCCAAACACATTCACTGGAAGAAAGATAACCTCTTTAATAAATGGTACTGGAAAAACTGGCTTCCCATATGCCAAAGATTAAAATTAGACCCAAATCTTTCACTGTGCATTAAACGAAAATCACAATGGCCCAGCGATCTAAATATTAAAACAGAAACACTAACTGCTAGAAGAGAGAATATGTAGAATTCTTGAAGACATCAGTGTAGGCAAAGACTACGAATAAAATCCCAGTTTCACAGGAACTATCACAGAGAATCAACAGCTAGAATCTCAGCTTATTAGAAGGCTTTTGTGCAGGCGCTAGGGACTTAGCTCAACTGCACAAGTGCCTGCCTGGCAAGTGCAAGGTTGTGAGTTTGATCCCTGGTACCACTCCCCCCACCCAGAAAAAATCATATAAAACGCTTTAGTGCAGCAAGAGAAACAATCAACAGACTGAAGAGACAACTCACACTGTGGGGAAACATTTTTCAAGTTGTTCCTCAGACAACGAACTACTATCTAGAACATATGAAGAATGCAAAAAAAGTCAGACCCCCGCCAAATTTAAAGACCCAAACCAAAAATGGGCATATGAAATAAATAGATGCTTCTCAGATAAATTAGGACAAACGGCAATAAATATTTGACAAAATTTTTATCAAATGTGAAATGCAAATTAAAACAACACTGAGATTACATCTCACTCCACAAAGAATGGTTGTCATCAGGAAATCAATAACAAATGCTGAAGGGGCTGTGGATACAAAGGAGCCCTTCTCCACTGTTGGTGGGAGTGTACACTGGTGCAGCACCGTGGAAATCAGTGTGCACAGTCCTCCAAACACGAGGACTAGAGGTTCCATTCACCCTTGTTCTTCCCCTTTTTGGTATCTTCCCAAAAGAATCAAAAGCATCATACCACAGTGGTATGTGCACACCCATCTTTATCAAGGCATAGT